ATTCAAGTGCGGATGGATTTCATTATTACAAAACTGAGCAGATGGAACATGTCATTCTTTTTGTTCAGTTGCCGTCAAACTTGTGAGGGTGTTTATAAATGCATGCAAAAACTTTGTTGATATAGTTGACATTTTTTGAAATTCCCTGCCTGACTCCAACAAGGAGAGTGATTTACCACCCACCTGACAAATTTCTTACAACCAGGTCTTCATACAACCAATTTTGACAATTCACATCAAATGATATATGAAAACCATCAGATAACGTCCTGATAAGCATCCAATTACCTTGTATTTTTGGTACTTAGATATAGTTCATTTAAAAAACATACTAAGATGTCACAATAAGTCAACAAACTTAAAACAGTTTATTTCAGAATTGTTCTTTGTCAAACATATTGTCCCAATATCACCAAAACCCACAGGTAAAAAAGTCAAAATACAAGATATCAGGGGTACATAAAAGAAGATGCCAGTGACTTTATTATGACTTTAGTCAATAAATCTTAGTGGTAAACCGAAGTCTTAAAGTCTTGTGCCCCTTTTGATGGCATGACCAAATAATCAAAAATTTTAATGCTATGGCAATGAAAATAATTTTTAACAGCTTTTATAACATTAAATCTCAATTTGCTGAACTTTGTTGGGTCAGAATTTTACAAGCTCAAGCTGTCTGGGCCTCAAATTGTTGATGTTATGCAGCAAAGGTCAATCGACAAAAGTTGGGCTTCTTTCAAAGCTTTTGTTAAAATACATTTACATACCATAATATCAAAAGTCTGTGCTGGCTCCTCAAATCCAAACTCTTTTAACTTTTCTATGCAGTTTTTTTGTTTACCTATCCATCTAGCCATTCTTGATGCTAACACCGTGACCTGACATAGTCCAATTTCATCCCATCTTCTTGTTACTTGTGGTATCTTTTCAAGTTTTACTTTTGGTTCCAAGACCCTATCTGTCTGAAAGTCATTTGTATTTGTATCTAATGATTTGCCAAGTCTATCAACAGCATCAATAAACTTCATAAATGTTGGCTGGAATTATAAAAAATGCTGTTTATCAAAACATAAGTACAACCTGATGCCTACATTGATACATTTTCTTAAGCCAAAGAATGGGATGAGTATGAAATTTTTTCATAATTTAGAATATATAGTACACTGGTTCAGAGTCAAAAGTCTAAAGAAAAATTTAAAATACCTCTAATCCAGGTAAAAGCATGACTTTATTAGGACATTTGTCGAACACACCAAACATTGCCTTTTTGTCCTCAATGACCCCACTCATCGACTTGACAAATTCAAACATTTTGCTGATCTCGTTTTTGTCTGCAAGCTTGACAATAGACTCTCTTTTTGTGTAACCAGAAAATTCCATTATGTTTTTTAAATAACTTCCACATGGGAGAATCATATTCCATAACTCTTTAGGAATTTCCTCACCCTTCCTTCCACTGGCCTCATCTTCCAACTCCATTACTGGAAACTGAGCACGATCTGTTGTTGTTATCATCAGGCTCCTACGCAGCAACACGAAATTTTTTCGACTCCTCCGGCATGGGAGTGTTTTTTGATCTTTTTCTAAATTTCCTACCTTTGTGAACACGTCGTTTCTGCTATTTCAAAGGTTTCCGAAACTCATAACTAATGAAACATTTGAATGATTGGAGGATTTTCTGGAGATTTTTAAGGTTAAGGGATTTCCGAAGATTTTCTTGAGAATTTCCGGATTTCTTTGGATTAACAAAACACAATGTAATGGCTCTCGGTTGAGGCAATGCAATTTACACTCTTTTTTTATAAGAACAATTTTATAAGAACACGAGCCTCAAAACTGGTCAAAAGTTAAGAACAAATTAAGAACAAGCTGAGGCTGAGCTTCTGCAAAATGCAATTTTGAACAACGTTTTTTCTCAAAATCGAGGATTTTTTTAGCGATGTGTGGGTGCTTTTTCGGTGAATATACAAATTTGTCAGCAAATTAAGGCTGTCTCACTCACTTTGTTGGCAAATGAGACCTAAACACCTCTTTAGATCGAAAAAACTAGCAATAGCACTGCTTACACCTCCTTAATTTAAAAACAAATTAAGAACAATCCAGCCTCAGATTTTCGAAAAAATTAAGAACAATCAGCCTGAACTTAAATTTACTGGTTCTTATAAAAAAAATATGTACTCCCATTGTATGACTGTTCCCTTTGCTTTTTAGGTTCGTAAATTCGCTTATCGTGCTTCGATCTTTATCATACCGTAGGGGTTGGTCTTTTTCCATATCTTCCAGTTTCTATTTGTAACTAATGCGAGCTAAATTTCAATTTTTCGAGTTTTGAAATCTAAAATAACGCCTTATTGATTCTCAAATTTTAAGGTGTTTTTAAATAGTTAAAATGTGCGTGGCTTTTTCTTGTTTCTAATCTAGCCTTCAGGTTTTCCATAAGTTTGGACACGAATCTGTCAATACTTTTTGTAAAATACATTTTGGTAACTATGTCGCCAGGGACGCCGGTAACTATGTAACCATTCGTTCGTAACCATCATTTTGTTTCGATCTCAATCTATTGTAGGTATCACGAAAATCGGCTAACTTTTGAATTTTAGAAAATCGGCTAACTATGAAATTTTAGAAATTTCGTCATGAATGAGGCAGTACCGTCAGAATTTCATATGAATATTTTGATAATTACAAACAGCTGGTGTCATGGGGACTTCTTTAAAAAGGCCATTTTGACCACCCTTGCCCCTCCTATCAAAATGAAACAGGGGCGGTTGACCCCCGCACTTCCTCTCCGGCGTCACTGTATGTCGCAGATGAGTTTCATTCTACAATGATCCATCCACTGTATGCTAAAGAAAAAACGTAAGCTATTTCTGTTGCTGAGTTTAAAAGACAAGTTCTTTTCCTGACGAGCCAAGAAAGAGAATTGAGTACATTAAGTCCTATTAAAATTATGATTTATTGTTAAGTATTGGTTTATTATATTGCATTCGTTTGAAGTGGATTGCTTTTCGTCATTAATACTTGTAGCTCTAGCTCTTGACTTCCTCAGTAAGATTTCACGTTTATCTTATCTGTATTAGCATAGGAATACTCTTTAAGACGAATTAATACTATCAATGTAGGTTGACAAAAACGACAAAAGGCCCTTTTGATTGTTTGAGTACCACAACAATTTCTTCTTAAAGTTTTGATAGTCAATGGCATGCTAAAATCAATTTCCGATGTCAATGGATGAGTTGGCTTTGCCCATTTTTAATAAAATATCCATATATGGGGGTTATTAGACGTCACATGACAAATTAAAGCTCATTTTACTACTTTAAACGTATTTCTACCAAAAAAGATAAACTATCCTTTATGTTCCACTGCTTAGACCAGATTTTTATTTGGTTAAAAACGTCATTCCAGCCACGTTTCTCCTTTGCAAAGGATAGGCAGGAACTTCTTCTGATTTAACCCCCATTTTCCCCCCAAAACAGCGGCAAATCTCTGTTTACCATCATAATTCGATATTCCCAGTTGATATAGAGTTCGAAACTGGGAATCGAAATTTCCCCACCCCAAAGTGGTACTCCCCGCCGTTGCCGTCTGGTCCATATCGGTCTGATCAATTTGTTTTTGATAATTTAGGCCTTTCAGGTGAATTGTGATAACTGCAGGATGGACAAATATAACAAGTTTAAATGCCCCCCCCCCCGAGCTCTGGTATGGAAAATGAAGTGCCATAGATTCCAGTACTCGACGGTTTGGTGTTGACATGTTTAAGTTTAACGGTGCTTCATTAAGCGGATCACGACATAATAACAATAAACTTGACTCACCATTCCGGCCCAGAACTGACTGAGGTAGGATCCAAAACTCTGATGTTACTCTGTTGTAATCGCCGTTTGATTTTATGATTTCAAATGCACAAAGAGCAAGGTTTGTCTTCAACGGTAAGCACTGGTTGAATTGACAGGAACACGAGGAATTCTCATGGTAGTTTGCTGCATGTACGGGGCTCCCGTGGGGGCACGGTTCACGAATTCCCGCACATTATTTGAGCAGGCAAATCACGCATAGGAAAATACGTATATCTCGCGCACTCAAAAATTCAATCCTTGGTGTTTCAAGTTCTTACACAAGAAAATATGACAAAAAATATGGGGGTGGGAGTGACTTGTTTAGCAGTGCAATTCAAGTCACACTGATCCAAAACCATTGGGTATTCTGGCCTTTCGATTAATTCTAGCAATAATTTCGAATTTGTTCAAACAAGGATTTAACATATTTGAAAATTTATTCCTTATCCTTGACATTGCGGGGTCAGCAGAAAATAAAAAGGGAGTTTGTGTGCAGAGCTAGCCATAACGGCGTGCTGTCTAGCCATTGAGAGTCAAAGGCACAGCCAAAGGCGCAAAAACGTTCCCTTTATGCATGATTTCAGTGCCATGGTCCTCTAGATTACTGTTTTCAAAAAGGAAAGAATGACAAATATGACCTATTCATACCTGATCATCCTTTCCCCTTCTTTAAAAATTTTAGTGGGCCCTATTCTTACAAATGTTGGGAGTAACGGTCTTCATACCCCCACTTGGCTCGCCACTGTCTCTTGGAAAGCTGGCAATAATAACTGTAGCGAGAAAGATTGAAGCCAACTGCTCAATTGATTTTCCTAGCACCAAGATAGCAGCTTGAGAAGAAGATAAATTTGTCTATGGACGTTTCTATAAATTTTATTCATGCTTTTAACCTTGAGAATCTAACTCCCAAATATTTGTATGCAGATCTCTTTAAAGGGCAAGTAACTTGCAAAAACTCCAGAAGAGAAAGCATTAATAAACAAAAGATTACATAAAATATTGATTATTCATCTTAATGCAATGCGTTGAAACGATCGAGTCCTGGGAATAGGGTGGTGCCCAGTCCTTTCTCCCGTCAACCAATGCGTTGACAAGCCTTTTGATATTACATGAATTATAACATGATCTCACAAAATGGACTTGACAACAAAATATCAAGACTTCACAACACAATGTCAATCACAAACTCAATTACTTATTCACTGGTATATATAATTAGAATGCGGAATACAGTCAAATACAAATATTACAAGCCATATCCTTTTAATTTCTTTTTAAAATTGCTTAAGGCCGAGCCTACTTGAAGAGTCTTTCAAAATTATATCACATACATGGACTTTCAATGACAACTGAAAGGAACAGGTTGAAAATCCTCCAATACCAAAAAAGCGAGCAGGCTATCAGATTTGATGTTCATGAAGACTTTTCAATTGTGATTCCAATACATCCAAACACAAATCGGCATGTTGTTTGGTAAAAATCAAAGCAGGTCTGAAACGGAGTGCCCTCTCTCCACACGTGCCATTTTCAAGTCCTAAAACGAAACAAAAGTTTACTGTCAGTACCCTTGCCTTAAAATAAACGAAACGCAAGATATTCTGATGAAATATGCAATGAAGTGGCGAAGTTTCATGTTTTCAATCCTAAATAGAAGTACGGCTCTTCCTTGTTAACTTGTAAAAATGAATAATAACATTTAATACAAAACTTTTCTCAAAAAGCAATTTAAGAAAATCTTTGTATTAAAAAGGCAAAAATGGCCATTTGAAGCAAGAAATTACCTGCATTTCTTAGTAAGACACTCAAATGATGTGCGGTGGCAGCGTCCCGTACGTCAACCGCGCAAAACGTTCCTTGACCTCTTGCGGCGGAGAGCACATCAGGATATCGATTCTAAAAGTAACATATTGTAATTGACTTCAAATTATTTTGAGTAAACGGAGGACATAATTTCGTCACGAACGCAATTTCGAAACGTACATTGAGAAAAGAAGCTTTACTTGCATCCTTAATACGAGTGGCAATCGAAATGACAACAACATCAACAACATCAACAACATCAACAACATCAATTATAAACGCGAGAAACAAAACAGAGGAAAGTCGCCTTCTCAACACCAGGAATTTGCTATGAACAAGTTTTGGTTTCTCGTGAATGGGGCGTTTTAAAATAGATATATTGCACGATAAGAGTAATTGATCCTCAAGCAAGAGCATTTTCCTGCCTTTATTCTTAGAAGTAATACCATTTCACCACCATAACAACTAGTAACGGGGCTTGAAGGCATTTTTTGAGGAGCAGGTGAGGGTCAGCAAGGAAACAGACAAAAAACCAATCACAAATGAGTTCTCAATCAAATATATCTTGTAACACGAAAATGGAGCAACAACAACAACAAATACCTGAAGTTCGACAAGGCCAGACAACAGCCTGTCACCAGACTCCTTGGCGCGTTCAATAAGGTTATCTGCCTTGATCGTTCGTAAAACGGGCTCCAGTTGAATCAATTTAGAAGCATCGCCCATCCAGGTATTAAAAATTCTCAGAGGCTAAAAAGGAGAATATTTAACGTTTGACTCTAGAAAAAGCAGTCGCCCTTATATCAGAATAAATAGAATTGAGAAATCAATTCGTTGACGTGTTTAATCTCGCATATCGTTTCAATTAGTTCTTCAAAAGTATGAGATTTTAAATCCCCATTTTTCAAACGTATTCTGGAGAACCTTATTTTTGTATCCCTTCTTTGCTGGCCGAACCATATTATCATTGTAACAACCATCCACTTATGCATCATCCCAGTCCCCCCCCTCTCTTCAACTCCATCCACTTGCTTTATTTTCAGTTACTTATAGGGAACCCTTGATAGACGTAATTTGACAGGGGGGGTTATAAAAGAAAAATCAGTTCGCAAGAAAGTTTCTGTTTAATCGAATATATTATGCTTCCGGCCATATACAACAACAATCAGAAGAATTGTGAAATTTTGTTAGTAAAATCATGTTAGCAAGATCTAATTATTCTATTCATGTTAGACCATTTCCAAGGTGAATATTTTTCATTATTACAAATGATTTAATATTATGTGACAAATGCAGCCAAATCAGCATTCAAAACTAAAACTTCAACAATTCACATTTTCACATCGCTCTAAGAGCCATTCCCATTTAACATTCCCTTCAGCTCTTCACCTCCAAGTTTTCTAATTTCCAGCGAAACCTTCTGCGTAAACTTCAAATAGTTTCTGTAGAACAGAAACCTTTTCACTCGATTTTCCTGGCTGATCAACGTAATCTAAGGGGATTCTTACCAGCCAATCAGTTCTTTCTTACGATTATCAAGACTTAAAAATTTCTGCGGTAACAGCCCCGTTTTCAATTAGAAAACTTTAGGGTAAAATGCACTTTAGCAAAAACACCAAGCTGATAACCTAGAAATTTGATTATTAACAACCTGTGCTGGCATGAATTCCTTTCGAAAGAAATATCCACCAGTAAGCATTTTCTTTGCAAAAGTGACGATGTCTGGAGGCTCGGGGAGGTCCCAATGTTCATGAGCCCTAAAAAGTACAGATAACATGAGATAATTATTCTAGAATGTAAGCACTGACTCACTGTATGAGCAGCGACGGGTTTAAAGGGGGTGTGGGGGTGCGACCTCCTTATTGTTTTTGTTATTGTCGGTAAATTTTGTTATGGTTCGGTAAAAAGAGTTTTTTGGTAGTCAGTGACAATTTGATGACACAAAGATTTTATTTATCTATAAATCTGATTTTCCTTTTCATAAATTGTTTAGCTTATGTTACAAAAAGCAAAGAATTTAGACACTTTAGTTAAAATTGAAATGTTAAATATTAACATTATCTAGATTAACGCAGTCATATCAACTACGCGCTTTTTATATATGAACAATTTTACAAGAACACGAGCCTCAAAGTTGGTCAAATTGGTAAGAACAAAATAAGAACAAGCTGAGGCTGAGCAACTGTAAAATGTCACTTTGAGCAATGTTTCATCTTAAAAACGAGGAGTTCGGAGAATTTTCAAAACTCCTGGCATATGAAGGATTTCTTACTCACTTTGTTGGCAAACGAGGCCTTAACAACTCCCTAGAGCGCAATAGCTAGCAATTGCACTGCTTACACCCGAAAAAGATCAGAATAGCTAGCCTGAACTTAAATTTACTGGTTCTTATAAAAAAGATTGTAGTGGTTCTGATGCAAGTGGCTCCACTTACCAGAACTTCCCAGTCACTCCAACACCTGTTTGGATTTCGTCGACGATAAAGGCAACATTGAACTATGGGAGAAAAGAGCGTTTGGAATGACGTAATCACGATAAAGCTGTTGATATACAGCTGCTTAATTTCTTGGACATGTAATTGCTCAACGAGGCAATGAAAGAAAAACTTATTCGACTATAAAGGAATCAAGATTGATATATACCTCTTTGCAGATAGCTTGCAAGGCATTGAAGAAATATGGCGATGCAGAATTATTTCCTGTAAAGCAAGAAGCATGAAAGATATCTATCGGAAACAGAGAAGACGTGAATGCTGTTCTCATGGCTATTATCTTTTTGTAAACGATGATAAAAAATATCTTATAAGATTTTCCATACCAGCCAGGAGTAACCATGAAACAAAGATTGGTGGTTCTGTCGATATAAAAACTCCAAAAGAATCTCGTTTTAATAGAGGAGATGGGAAAGAATAAATTGGAACAATTAAAAGAATCACAGATGCCCAACCTCCTTCTCCTTGGATTGGTTCCACCACCAAACCAGCCACAAATCGATTCTCTTTATTAGACGCGACGATGGCGCTAAACACCTGTAGTGCACAAAAAGGAGAAAGTTTTTAGCACGGTCTAGAAACGTGGCCGCCATTCGGTTGACGAAAATAAAAAAATTGGTGATAAAAGTATTTAATCTAGCACACCTATACCAGGCCAGGTTTTAACTTTTTTGGTTAATTTTTCCAGCTTTTACTCATTGTCTAGTAGAAAGATGGACAACTGAAGGGCCCTCTCTACGCAAATTCTTCCACTCACTCTCCCTCCAATTTCTAGAAAACGGCTCTTTGGTAATAGTTCACTGCCAAGTACACCGTATCTATTTAAAAGAAATACTGACACAGGGAAGGAAATATGATGTGACAGGGATGGCTAGGGAAGAGAGGACAGGGACAGGGAAAAAGGGAGAAATCTTGAACATGACGTATGTGAGAATTGGTATTGGTCGGGTGCAACAACATATGAAAAGAAAAATGAACGAAAGCTTGTAAAAAAATGAAAACACCAAAAACTGAAAAAATCTTTAATCTGATACTCCAAAGCAAATAATAAAGAACCTACTCGTTCCAAGCACCGGCTTTCCTCATCTCTGTTCTCGTCTACAAAATCCTCCAATGGGTATTTCAGTTTGGGAAAAGGGGCCATAGGCCACTTGAAGGCAGGAAGGTCAACTTTATGAATTGGTTTGGCACGGGTAGTTGCCAACGCTCCTGTTAAGAAATTGAAACTGAACGAGGAAAGAAAAATAATCTAGTTGCTAGGTTTCAGGCATAACCGAGTGAGTATAAGGTGGAAACACATATGATATGAAGAATCCGGAGAGGAATCGTGTTTTGCTAGATGTCACATTTTTAGCAGAGCGTTCCCTGGCCCTAGGCGACCTGGGATTCGTTGATGCAGTCAAAAAAACTCCTTGACGTGTGTGACACGAAGTTAATCGGATTATCCGAACCGGATTCTTCACCTTCACCTTCACAAGCTTCGTTGCGTCGTAAAGAAGCATTATGTTACTCTTGTGGCTTATTCATCTGATATGTGGCGATAAATCTCAGACAGGTGAATATAATTAATTTGGAATACAATAATCTCAAACAGGTAACTAGCCTCTTAAATGACTTAAATGACTTAAATGACAAAAATATTTAATTACTGAACCAAATAAGCCTATGGTACCGGAAAACCAGAAAAGGAGGTTGAGTAAACCTAAGAGTAAAATCTACGTCAAATGGGTAATTACATAGATAGGAAAGGTGCAAGATTACGTAAACAGAAACAGGAAGAGTTACCCAATGTTGATGTTCTAAAATACAAGCATATAGACGTTCTTTGAAATTTCAACAGCTTCCTTATTTGGCAGCCCCTAAGCTACAGTCGAAACTTCCTACCAAGACCTATCAAAGCAACGCTGGCATAAATCAAAGAGTTAATATATATTTAAATATATATACATACAATTTAAGTTCGTTAAGTCAGTTAAACGTCGATAACTTAATTCCCATTTACTCAAGTCATGTGATGGGTGTGAATTTCATATTCTGAGGGACAATAAAATCATCCCAAATAATCAATGAAATTGTTACTATAGCATAGCTCATTGCCAAAGAATGCCATCGACGGGCAACTGTGGAAGCTACTATGCATACAAAGGCATCAGAGGAGAGCATTACAATGGGATTTTCAAGGCCAAGTTTCGAATAGAAATGCTTTATATCTTTGGCAGCATAGCAAGTGGGTAACTTACCAAGCGTGCGACCATGAAATGCATTTTCGAAGGACAGTATGCTCAGGTTTGGCGATCCTGGATGCTGAAAATACAGTAAGAGAAATATTTTTGCTAATACCTGATACGGTATGCCATTTTAGTCTGGAAATTAAAAAAATAGCTGAACGTATTTTATACAAGCGAAGTGACTTAAAAGGAAAGCACTTTTCCTGGGACGACAGAATAATTAGGTAGAAATGCCAGCTCCCAGTTTAGCTGGATCTAAATATTACCATAAACTAAATTTTGTTTGTATAGACAGAAGGAGTTCGTTTTCACCCTTGGACTCCAGTGCTAACTTTCCTATAGGCACGCGGTGCTGATTCGGTATTGGACATGTGCTCACGCTTTTCTGATTGTTAAATATTTTGCTGTCAATATGACAAAAGTACAAAAGGTTTAATGCTGTTGTCTTTCTGCAAGTTGATACAACATTAGCTCTAACTTTTTTTATTGGCAATTACGGCAGAGACACCATCAGCATTGGTCAACGGGATGACGACAAACTGTAAACAAACACTACTCTAAATCTTATCTATGTATTCTTTGCTATGTTTTGTTGAATTCTTGTCAAGAACGCTAAATCGTTCTCAAGCATTCTCCTTCATAAAGCATAGATCCGAAAAAATATGCTAGTATTTACCAACTGAATTGAACTTGCATACATAAAACGGGAACAATGTTTTGAGAGGTGTCACATCTATGGATAAAGTGGTTGCATGAAAACCTTGGTACATTGGTACGTATATATATACCTGGCCCCCAAAGATAGGGTTTTGGGCCACAGAGAAGCTAACAGTCTCGAACAGTACCCTTGTCCTTATACTCAGTGTAACCATAAAACATATTGTGAACAACTGATTAAATAATGTGGATATTCAAAGATTAAATGAAAATAAATACCTGATTCTCTAAAGATGTCCGTAACTCAAATTCTGTGGGATCGGAGTGGCCACGCATTATGCTCTGAAATTATAAAATTGTTATAAAATGACGCTAGTGGCTCATTCCTTATGGCGAACAGGTACTCCTTCGGTCTAATGAGGGAAACGTATTTCAGAAGTCTGATTCATCCTTTACTGATGAAAAAGTTTTTATTGATGGAGTAATTCTCTGATGCATTAAACAAGCAACTAAAAACGAGGTTTAGGGGCGAAATATAAGACTTCTAAATGGATAGACACCAACTTAACAATATTTATAAAAACATCTAGCAGACTATTCTATGAAGGCAGATTTCCACTAGGCGACTTCTTTCGCGCGAATCGAATAAATATTCGTAGCGATAGAGTAGGACCGTGATCTACTTTCTGCGAATCGATTTTTTTCGCTGCGAAATCTGAGAACATGACACCACGCATGCTCACATTGGCAAAAATTCGATTCGCGCGAAAGAATTCGCCTAGTGGAAATCAGCCTTGATCCAGAAGTAGCTCTCAGGCCAGCCTTTCAGTTGAGACATTACAAAAACTTCATTTTTCACACCATACCTTCTTTATAACAGATTCTTAAAAAACAATATCCTTGTTCTTACTTTCGGTTAATGATTTGTATTGTATTGTATTGTATTGTATTGTATTGTATTGTATTGTATTGTATTGTATTGTATTGTATTGTATTGTAGATTATTCATTGTTAGTTTCTACAATAGTGAATATACACTAATTAAGACTAACATCAAGCAATTTCAAAGATTGCATAAGACAGTTCATTTACTGCAAAACGAGCATGCGCACTTGTTTTCAAGGAAGCCCTTGAATTTAGGCCCGAAGATTTTAGGCCCTTGAAAACTTAATGATCTGATACCATTATTGGTAGTGCTGGCTTTTGGAATGTCAAGGGGGTTTTTGAGTCGAAGGTTATGACCTGTTGTTTTGGGTACAAAATAGTCGTTCATGAAAACAGGATTAAGGTTGTAAAGTGTTTTATAAACTTCAAGCGCTAAAATTCTAACTGATTGGACATGTATGGTAGTTTCTTTTGAGTTAGCAAGTGAATCTTATTAGACTACGGTGCTTACGATTTGAATTGTGAGGTCACCCCGATATTCACCCCAACAGAACAACAAAGAGTCCTGGCCTGATGGAATCACTGATCAGTGGATGGAATAGATTGGCAGTATATTTTACCTTGTATCTAATGAAAGCAGCTTTATATGCATTCTCAATTGAACACGCACCACACATCATTGTTTGTACGCAATCAAGACCACGTGGTGCAACCTGCAAAGCGACAGATTACAATCAGCCTATCATGAAAACACCATTTAAACAGCTACTGTGAAAGAAGAATTTGTGCCCCTCCCCTTTCCAATAGACCCTCTTGCTCTATCTTTTTCCCTGGACTGGTTTTCGAGCAGGTCTCTTACGGAGCTGCTCTTTTGGAAAAATCTCCTATTATAGAAAACGTCGCCACACCAGACTGCGTATAACTCACTTTACACAAAAAAGTACTTTCTCATATAAGTGATGCTTCTAGTTATGCATGTTTCACGAAATAATTATTTTCAGAATACTTCACTAATGTCTTGCTGATAATTGGCAATTCGCCAGAAGAACAAGGACCCTTAAACGCAATGGCGAAGCGCTCCACCACAGGGACTTTTTACGGCCTGATAGAGTACAAGTTAAGAAGACAGCACTGGCGAAGCCCGTAAGTGCATCACTTCGAGGCTTAAACTTTGCAGATACGAATCATTCGTATATCTATGAAGGGTATCAGAAAGGAGAGAGAGACCTACCCTGTCTGCAAACTCTAGAAAAATCAGGGGAAAATAGTTTACTGTTACCTCTAATAAAAGAGGCAGGGATTTATATGTACAAGGATTTTAATAAACAAGTACCTTAGAAAAAGTAGGAGAGGGTTTGAAACAGGACTGTCTGTGAGAAATTTAGAATTCGTAAGGGAAACTTGGGCTGGAAGCATGCCAAGAGAGTCGTAAATGATTACATCCACTTAAACTACAGTGGAATTTCACCATTACGAATTCTGTGGGGATCAAGAAAATAGTTCGTAACAGTGACAGCTCGTTATACCGAGGGTTCGTCTTACAGGGAGCATTCCAAGGGGCCAGTTATTTAGTTCGTAATAGTGGAATGATCGTAACAAGTGGGTTCGTAATAGCGGAATTCCACCAACAGCTTTCCACAACACTTTTCCTTAATCCTATTTAGTTACAGGCACATTGTTTAAGACAGAGCGTGACTATTACAAAGGCAACAAATGATTTTACATGAAGCCATGAGTTCCACGAGATTAATGGAAACCAGAGTACTTCAGGTAGGGTGCATTACTGCATCTCAAGGGTGAATGACAAATGCTTCGGACCGCCCAACCATCGTGTAGATGGAGCCCATATCCTAAGTAAACACCAATCAAAAGTGAATCCAATCGGACAAAGTGTGACTCAGGCCTAAAAAATTTTATTTAATATATTGATAAGAAATCGAGATGGAATGTCAAAAGTGGTAAATAGAATTGAAGAAAGTTTAAGTAATATCAAAATTCTATTTGCAGGGGGCTTAAAATTTAAGCAAATTACGGGAAGAGAAGGAGTTATGGGTGTATTAACGGATGAAAAGAGTGGTCAAAAAGTAAAATAATACTTGAAACCGTCAGCTTAGTGGTATCGCATACCTCGAGAAGAAGGTTTTTGATCTGTCCGACATATTGCAGTGGAGGGTAAACTCCCAAGGCAGGTCGATTGATCAAAAGGCTCTGAAAAAGAGTAAACGAAGCTATAAAATTGGGTTCTTCCATGTGGAAAACGTTTGGAATGTTGAATTCTAGATTAAGAGATATGGTTCGAATTCTAAAATAAAAAAATTCATGGTTTACCACGAAAAATGAAACAGCTTTGAAAACAAGTAAAATCCGATCAAACGAAATTGTTTCTGGTAAAAAAAATAATACATGACGCAGAATAGATATATGTTATGTTATTTTGAAATAATGCCAGAGAAAAAGATAAACGAAGCTAGCAATAGTATTGTTGAAACGTTTTAATTCAAGCGGTCGTTTAAAAATGGGTGTTTTTTTATATTTTGAGTTTAAGAAAAATTCTAATAAAATAATTTTTTAGGCACAAGGCAGACATTACGAAGAGAAATTGGAGAACTGGTTTGGAGAGCTTGTTAAAAGAACTGGTTTATAAGCTTGGAATCCTACAAGCATTAAATCCATCCCGACCTATGACGTAATTTCGATTTAAGGTTAAAAAAGAGTATCTTTGAAACGCTGAGTTTTTCGAATTAATCGATACGAATGAAAAAGCTCTTTTTAACAACATATCCTGCCCTTATTGAAATAAAATGAACAAATAACCAACGCCCAACACCATTCTGTTCTAAGGTGGCTGAAGTTCGCAAAAACATTATAGTCAATCAAAACAGAAAATGAAAAGATTTACGTCGTTTCAGCTGAGGACGTTTAAGAAGGTAGAAGTTAAACAAAATTAAGTAAAAGCTGGGCACGATAAAATTGGTTTGCAAAAGAGAGTAATGGAAATAATGCTGGAGAAGCGGGATTTGCATGCTGAACAATGAGGGAATGTGAAAACTTAAAGACAAATCAAAAACGGAATAGATTTTAAATAACTGCAAGGTCATCAATGGTTTATCAGGTGGAAAAATGTCCCAGGGTGTGCAAATATTCAAGACTGTAGTAGACTGTTGTGGATGTGTCAGATGGCCTTTATATCAGCAATGTGGACTCAAAGTGCACAAAGGAACTAATAAAGTTACGTATGAGCTGTGGGTTTTTAATGACGATTGCAAGGTTAGGAAACATCTTAAAAAACCATATTCGTGGTTTGAAGTCTATCTGACTCTCAAGGGCACCAATCTAGATGAAGAAAATCGACGCTCGCACGCTTGGTTACTGAACTTACTAGATGTTCTGGAGACTCGACTACTTGCTTGATAGCAGGGTGATTATAGCCTGTCGATTAAATGGACAAAATATAACAACAATTTAAAACAAGTAGCGTCATGCTACCGAGTTATGCCCTTGATGTAGGTATCTAGCATGCCCGTTACTGCTTGTGCAAAAATTCAAATCAAGCGTACAAGGTCAGCCACAGGACTTTAATCAAACTCATTTAAACCCCACATTTCTTTGCCAATGGGTGGTATCCCTTCGGTAAAGAAAAATCCCCTTTCGCAACCAATTAAATTGCCAGCCACGTTTTGGAAATTACTTTAAACTTTATTGTACGACTCTTTTGTGCTCCATTTAGGAAACTTATATGGGATATGGACAAAAAAATCGTTCTGAGTGAAACTTTCAGTCACGGTGAAATCCCTATATAGTTTAAAGTCAACATCAATAATTATGTAGACTAAAATTCTGGTCCTCAATCCAAATCTGGAGGAAAATCTACTACAATAGAAAAAAGGTATTTCTCAAAACGCGGTCAAAAGTTTACTTTGTATAAAGGAGAGACGGTATCCTTTTGTTGATAAGGTAGGGTCCTTTCCCAAAGAGAGCACCTAATGTCTTTTCTGTAGGGGAATCAAGCCCCTTCACACTAGGAAGCATTTGGTTAAGTAAGTGAGCGCCTTCCACAATTGGACAGTATCCATTCATAAAAGAAACCAGGCCCAAATTTGGACCCTTTGCTTTGAGAAGGAGGCCCTTTCCCAAGAGAGAGCATATTCCACCTCTTTTGGTGGCGAATGAAGCTTGCAATAAAGCACCCTGAGTAGGGAGACAAGCCTTTAAAGCAATAGAGGGAAGTTATACCGCTTCTTAGGAAAATCACAAGCTGGTTTCCCAATAAAGACCAATATTAGTCAAGCACTATTTAAAAGTAATAAAACTATTAATAATCACATACTGATCAACTAAAATAAGCCAAACAATAAATTAGAACAGAATCTACTTCAATAGAATAACCAATGAAACTCAGCCCCTTATACCATCCATGGGAATATCTATACCTATATAAATCATGTGAATAGAAATAGCCCTTGATGGGATCAATTAAATTTACAAGCAAGACAAATTCCAATCTTGTAGAAATGAAATGGGAAAAGATATAAAATGAAAATCAAATAAATAGATCTGAATAAAATGAATACCTAATGGAAGTGATGCAATTTGTTGGTATACGTCCAGCATCACATTGCCATCAATATCAACAAGGTAGTTGCCTTGACTTTTTTCAAAGTCAGCCACAAAATGCATTGTGCCAGTTGTCTGGGTAAACAGAAACATAACTAGTTAAGGTTGAACACAATCCAACACATCAACTACCCTTATGCTTTCCACCTGAAACTTCCACACACAGTTGTGCCTGCATTATGAGGGACAGCCACAGAGCATGTGCACAATAAAAAGTGTGGCTTTTTACAGATGATACTTAGATTTTATGTATGATATTTTAATTTCTTATTAATAATGAACATTTTCCACAAATGCTTTGACACAAAATCTACTGTTGTTATATTTAGATTATTTCTTGTTAAGAACACAGGACTGTTAAAAATAAAAACAGTACAAGACTCCCAGGGGTGGGCTTGAGTGAAGGGGCATTTGAAAAACAATTCCCAGCTACTAACATTTCTTTCGCAATTATCATTTTGTTTTGATCTATTTGGGCATCTTGAAAATCGGCTAACTTTTGGCATAAGAAATTTCTTTACAAACTGTTAGAGGATAAGGCAGTACATTAAGAATTTCATATGAATCTTTTGATAATTACAAATGACCATTGTCATGGGAACCTCTTTGAAAAGGGCACTTTGGCTCCCCCTACCTCTCCTATCAAAAGGCAACAGGGGTGGTTGACCCCCCTGTGCCCCCTCTCCGGCATCCCTGAAGACTTCTAGCAACAACTCAAAAACCAAAAAATAATTACCTGGATGCTGGAAAGTTCTTGCAGTACTTCCTACAAAAGAAAACAATCTTAGTTGGAAGGTTTTTTAACTTCAAAAATGGAAATTGAAAAATGATGAGCAAGAAGTGAGTAGCGTGTGAGGATTTAAATCTTTAGAATTTTGATTCATTCATCACCGTGGACTTGGGGCCTGGAACGGTGGTACTCATGATAGGCTTTGAGTAATTGCCATCTTCTGGAATCAAAGCTGATGATGATTTTCTGACCAATGGGAGCCTGGATACTAGAAGAACAAAAATTTAATATTAAATTTGTTGGACAGATAAGCAGTTACTAATATTCTTGAGTTTTATCGATTCAATTTACAGTTTCAATTGAATCACTTAAAAAATTAGAACGGAACTTTTATATTAAGTAATTTGATCAATTACTCCCAACTATTTCCTAGAAAAAAATGAGTGCTTGTGATACACTCAAGAAAAATTATGTGCCATACTTCCCTGCAATATAAATTTAAAGCCCTATTCTCTCTTTATGTCCCAACTACAGTTTCCACTAACAAATAACAAAAGAACACAGGACACTGATAGAAGAACTTGCAGGCATAAGTAGGCCATCGAGAGGGGGGAGAAGGGGGCCATTGCCCCTGGGCTCACAAGAAAAATCTTGCGGGTTGGAGTAAATACCCTACAGGTCATGTGAAAAACATGTTCACAGTATAATCCAATATTTTGTAGCCTGGCAGCATTGGCTCAAGAAGAGAAATGCGATGGCATGATGAAACACTACAGATTGTTCCAAAAGTAGTTCTTTATACCCAAAAATTGCAGATAAAGTCCCTGCATCTTGAGATCTCAATCTTTGCAGCTGCTCACTTTAAATTTACTATCATTTTGTTGGTTACACATGCGTAGTATGAGGGTAAGTTGTAAGATCAACAAAACGATCACAAACTTCAATAGAACTCCTTTCCAACTAACTTCAGAAGCTTATACCATGATTTCAAGAAATTTAGCAGTTGTTGTAAATAGCAAACTGCAGCTTTAATACAATAATGAATTGATTGCAATCTTTCGAAACACACAACTTTGAAAGAAAATTAGGTAAAGAAAAGATTCAAACAGCTTCTTGGTACCATTTCCTGATCTCCAGCATGATTTCATATTATTTGCTGGTTGCCTGATATGGTACTTTTAATTCAAATTCAAATCAGTTTTAAGTTCAGATCCAACTGTTGTAGTAATAATCGTATCACTTCCACCAAAACTCACCTTTGCCAACTGCTCTGAAAAGCAGGAGGCCACTGCTTCCTATGTTGTTAAATCTTCTCATCATACTTATGAAAGCTTGTGAACCAAATACTGCTTTTATTCAAGAAAGGCAAGTAGTCCATCCTTAAAGAAACAATTTTAAAATACAAAAATTGTCAATAAATATGAGAAAAGACATAAAATAAGGAAAGGTATAGGGACAGTTTAGGGGTTGGGTACTAGTTGGTAACTCAAGTGAATTGGCCTAAATTGGTAACTCAAGCCATTGTCTAATAAATTTGGTAATAGTTTCAAACACCTCTCTGTTATCATCTGCAATGGTGAGGTTCCCAGAAATTTTAGACACAACAAGGCCATGATACAACATGACATTTTCAGGTAATAGTTGACGCTGTTGTTTCTTCTTAACAGTTTGTTGATACTGTTTAAAAGTTCAGTCTGTGTTGATGGTGGTCCATAGCAAAAAATTAAAATGATGATCGAGCTACTTCAAATATTTACTGATATCCACAGGAGGAACATTTTTGTGATTAATTATAAGTTTTGGGAGATATTGGACAATATATGTGGCACTCTTGTCTCTACTGACTACTACCTTCTTTAAAATAATATAAATAAATATAATAATACAGTCAATAAGTTGGGCTTGCAAAAGTTGGATACTTCATAACTCTGAAAAAAAATGCTTGGTCCCGTCAATTTGTTATATATTAAAGCTGTTAATTTTCAGTGCAAAAGCTGGGCTTAAATAGCTGAATATTTGCGTATATTTGGGAGTATTTACGACTATTTTGAAGTCGTAAATATTCGCAATTAGCATTGCATAAGTGTTTGCACCAGAAATAATCATGACTATTCTGAAGGCTGGGCAGATGTTTTTGCAGAATTGTAGATGTAATCATTCATTTGTTCTACATATACTTCAGCTGTGATGTGGTTTATGGAACATATGGTTCATCAGTGGTCCTACATAGTGGTACTAACATTGCAAAGTCAGTCTAGTACCATTTTATTTTTCCCTTTTTCATTTTTATCGATGCACATATGTCATAGCAATGTTAGCATTAGATTTCAATGCTGTGATACTAGTTTTCAAATTCTAGTACTGCCCCTTCATTGTTCATTTTCATTTGGTCTTTTTGGGTGACCTCAATTGCTCTGTATTCAAGACATCAAACAATAGACAGATTTCTCAGGAGTACTAGTTTCAATTTTTGGTACTACCTGAATGCAACGAGCTATCAAAGATGGAACGAATGAGATGGATTTACGCTGTCATAGCCTGCGTACAGACATTTAAATTTCAGAGTCTGAACACAGGCTTTGTTGCCAGGGCCCTGTTTGCTGTTTTGTCCTTATGAAGTTTATGCTTCTTAATCCTCCTTTATCATAAAAGGTTTTTTGTGAAATTAGACTCTTTACCCTCTTTATCCTCTTTATCCTTGTCGTTCTTTATCCATGACCACGAGCAACACCTTTATATGAGTAAATATAAGTCATCTGATTGCATTTTACACACAAACACAGACCGTGGTCTGGAATCAAGACTCTGGATACAAAAGTGTTCATTGAAGATCTTTGCACTTCCGATTCCGGGCAGTACTAGAACCTGTATTCTACTGGTACCGTAAAACAGCGGCAGATTTGACGGGGAGCATGGGGCCATAAATATCCTCTCCCCAAATGGTCTATAAACTGAGCTTCTTCGTGTAGCCTCTAGAGAGTTCAAGCCAAAGAAAGCATGGCCCTTTTGTCAGGGCCTAGACCTTTCCTTCATCACAATTTTCGTTCCTGTTGCAACCGTGGTTCATCCATTTCAAATTTTCATTCATAAGTTGAAAAAAAACTGTCTAACACGTAGGCACCATAGAGCATTGAGAAAAGTTGGGGGCCTAAAAAAGTAAAGGGGGAGTGAAATAACCTACCAGGCTATTTCATGATGTTTTGAGAAGCTTCGTCAAATTCTATTTAAATTTGAAAAAGTTATTCGAGTGCAGTGAGATGTTTTTACCTGTTTATAAAGCTTCAGTATGGGGGTCAATTTCGGAACTTTACCCCAGAAAGTCAGAAATTCAAAAAACCTCAAGAAACAGTTGTGGTAGGTTTATTTCATGATGTTTTTTTAAGTTTCGACGAATTCTATTAGCATTTGAAAAAGTTTTTCGAGCACAAATATGCAAGTTTTAGGTAGTTTTTCCAGTCAAAGGTGTGCTTCTAGTGCTCTGAAAATTCTTCGGGAAAGTGAAAAATATTCCAGATGGGTATGGCTTAATAATATATCCATATGTTTTTTTCAATCCTTTCTGATATTGAGTTTGTTTCCAGGAAAAAGAGTTTTTTGCTTTGAATTGATGTCAAGTTTTGCGAATGTCAAAATTTTGGGCCAAAGTGTTTTCACTGTCACAACCAAGATGATTTCTTAAAATGGAGCGACTTTCCTCAGCTTCCTTAGCAAGTGAAACAAGGCTCAATAATGTGGCTTTGCCATAACAAATCTACTTTTCTACATCAAACCAAAACCCTCTGAATGTTTAAATGAGAACCAGAATGTCTAATCGAATGTGTAAGGCCAAATCTATATTTCTATAAATGCATCTTTTAAATAATTTCTTTAGCTGAAATAAGAAATTTCTTCTTTCAAAAATCCTGGTGATACTATTTAGTGGTGGCCTGGCAGGGGGGAGGGCAGGGGGCCAGGGCCCCCGAGCTGACTTTTTCATAGGAGCAACAAAGCTTGTATATGGTCCTGAAAACTAGGAAAAAGTTTGATACAGCTGACTTGTCTGGTTATTAGGTCTCTAGGAGGTCAGCAGAGACAAAGAGGATGCCTTAAAATTGAAACTTTCTTGGGGTGCATGGCCCCAAACCCCCTAGAACAGTCTCATTTCTGGGCCTGTCTGTGGGCCCCTTAAGTACTGTATCGCCCAGACAAAACATTTATACTGTTTGCATGGGCGAAAAAATTAATACTCCGAAAACAGTCTGTGTTTAGGGTATCTGGACTCATGCCCCACCCTCATCTAAGGAATATTTTGAATTTCAATGAGTCTCTTTGGCCCTGCTGGCCTTCAGAGACCTAATCAATACACAGTTCGGTTGTTTAACTGTTTCATCCTAGATTAGTCGGTCTGCTATCTCAAGTCACTTCCACAAACATACAGTGTTGGGTGCACAAGATTGACTCAAAACATTGACTTTTCAAAAACGTTTCTCAGGGACACCAGGGAAAGGGGCGCAGGGGGTCAACTGCCTTTGTTGCCTTTTTATAGGGCAGCCAGAGTTCCCTTGAAACCGGTCATTTCTAATAATTAGATAGTTTTATATTACATTCTGGTTGTAGTGCCTAATTCATGAAAACACTTGTCAAAACTTGTAAATAAATTCCTTATGCCAAAAGATAGCCAATGTTCAAGATACGTACAGAAGATTGAAAAAAACGGCACATACGAAGGAATCAGTAGAAGCTGAGAATTACCTTACGAATGCCCTTTTACTCAAGCCTGCCCCCCCTGACCTTGATCGTTCCGGCGTCACTGATGTTTCTTGTAGGTACTTCAGGTTTCTTTTCAACGGTCAGGCCTAATTTTCTTAACGGTTGCTGTTTTTGGTCTTTTATATAATTTCTTTAAAATTTGATAAAATATTTATATACTTCATTTTGTATCAAATGACATAGTCTTAATCATTTTTAGCACGAATCCTCAACTTATTGGCTAGGACCAACTCTTTCCATTATTTGTTACCCCAACACCACTAGTTTGCCCCCTGATTGTGAGTTGTGGTGTTATATGTATGTTTTGAGGTTGTCTTTGGGCCATATAACACCAAAAGAATAAAACCTTAATTTTACTACATCGTAGGAGTATCTTTTGGAATTTCCCCAAACATGCTCTTGACATATTTTTATCTAGTTTATCTGCTTGGATTGGCTTCGAAGAGACAGTCAATTTCGTATGTGAGTCGGTCCAATCCAACTTGTCCTGACACCCCCATGAAAAAGTGCAATATTTGGGACCCTGTTCTCACTTGGAGTCACTCTATCCTTGACATACAAGGTTAAAAATATAAAAGCATTACCAGACTGCCAATCTTTTCAGGAAAAGAAAATAATCTTACTCTAAGGTCCTTAATAGAAGGGGGGGGGACGCTTATTAATTTTTCGATTTTTTTCTGACCCCACCGGAGCTTATTTGGACCCCCCCGCTTATTAATTTTTAGATGCAATCATTCATATCTCTTTTTTTTTATTTGTCCTTTGTTCAGGTGTGAAATTTCTGTAAAGTTTCTCTTAAATTAAGAGCTTGCATTGTAAAAGTTTTAACATAGTAAAGTAGTATAACATCTGAAAAAATTTACAAGGCCTGGCTGATGTACACAATGATAATCAGCCTGCTCATTTTAGTAATACAACAATGCATTATTACATGGTGATAATTGTCATTTTGCTATGGATTGTATTCAGAAGAAAATCTCATTTGACCCCAAAAAAGAATCATCACGTGATTTTTCAGATTTTTCACATTTCCGATCCCCCCACTAACTAGAACCCCCCCGCTTATTTATTTTTTGAAAAATTACTGACCCCCCAGCTATCAAGACCCCCCCCTTCTATTAAGGACCTTAGAGTAGTTATGAAGAGCGCCATTTTGCTGCTGGCCCCTACAGGCGAAAAAGGCCAGGCCGCCACTGATACTATTTGACTTTGGCCGTAGTAAACTCATTCAATCTAGAATTTCTGCCTCAAAGGCCAAAAAGCCAAAGTTGAGTAGCCAAAAGCCAAATTTCCAGACAATTTACTATGAAAAAGGCCAAAATTGGAAAACTTGGGTTAGGGTTAGGCCAACCCTGTCGTAATTTGCGGGCCGGACCGCCGAACGGCTATCCAATTCTAAAAGTCTGCATGCGACTATTTTTTGCAGTGAGGCTACCTTAATGCTTTCCATAATGATATGAAATGTGATAATTAAAGCTACATGAGAAATATTACCAGAGAGACTTAAACTCACCAGAGGGACCTTGAACGCTCTTTTCCTTTGACACTGTGGCTTAGTCTCGCAGTATTTGGTTTGAGCACAGAATTCTGTGGTTTGGGCATCATATAAGATCACCTTTTTTAATCCTCAGCCACCAGTCGCGGTTTCTTTGGAAAGCATTGTTAAACGCGATTTCATAATGAGGCTCAACATTTACACACGAACTCATGAAATAGTCAGTCAAGGGCGAAGCTAGCGGGGTAGTGTAAGCACCCCCAATTTTTCACGATTTGGTCGGTAAATCATCAGTTGCTCCATTAAATCCTTCTCAAAACTAACGACGAACATAATTGGTCAGCAACAACTCGAGGGAGGTAAAGCTTCTCTCAATTAAGAAAGAAATAGAGACAAAAACTAAAAACAAAAATTTTTACAGCTTGCCTTGTGGAATGTTGGAGGTTTATAATGTGGAACTCCTCGCAAAAATAAATTCTTTTGCAAACATGTCAAAAAAGAGGCTGGAATTGAAATAATTCAAATAAAGGCTAAAGTAAGGGATATCTCGTCAAGTTCATTTTAAGTTGACTCGTTATTTTAAGTTTGCATTAAGTTTGTGGAAGGTTTAGCCGAGGAGGAGGGCAGTCAGAGGAAGGTTTAGCTTTTGCTGGACCATGAAAGTCATCACATCACATTTTGGGAATAGTTCAAACTAACTTGAGCCACACCATTTACCATGAGCCATACCATTTACCATGTAACAGTTTGCAAATTTCACACTGTTGCCCCTCCTGAAATTTTATGAGAAACTGCCACTGTCCCGCATTACTCATAAACTAAAAGAGCAGACAAGAAAAGCGCGAGGAAGCGTGACCCAACAGACCATAACGAATAGGAAATAATAACAATCTCAAGCGAAAATAATGTCTCAAGCGAATTAGTTGATGCTCAAAAGCCCCTCGTGAAATTACCTCCGATTAAATGAAGTTATCATCTTGAATGGGAATCAAGAGATGTTTCCAATCTCTGAACTAACCCTCCCCTAAATGACGAATTTTGCCTGGACGACCCTGTCATTCCATAGTAATTATGATTCCATAATTAAGTTATCATCTTAATTAAGTTATCAACTCTTTTCATCTTAAAAACGGCCAATTGAAAATGTTACCAATGGAGTCCCAGGGTTGCAGCAGTGGAGGGGTCTGGGGCCCAGCCGCCAGAAAAAAATTAGACCACGCCCTTCAGACACTCGCAAATGCGGGAAACGCCCCTTTTGCAAAATTTACCCCTATTATTTGAATCATGTTAGCTACGGTAAATAGCAAAGTATTTTACAATTGTTATTGACACAAGCATACAGTATACTACACCCCCCCCCCCCCTCCAATTGTAGTAGGAATATTCTCCTTTTCAGTATTAACCTCGTTATCATGTTACTTATGACGCACTTAACTTAAGGATATATAATGCTGCACGTAGACAGTTAGAGGACTTTTGATTTCGATGATGAAGCAGAAAACATAAACGAAGTTCGTTTCTCTTCGTCTCACTTCTTCGATAAAGATCCCGCTACAAAAATTGGTGGAGGACCCGGTTCTCCATTTATGGATAAATAACCGCTACAAAAATTGACACGGTTCTCCATTTATGGTTAATAACCGTCAGTCATGTCCACTATCGAAGAAGTTGTTGGTCTTGTTGGTGGTCTTGCCGAAGTGGTGAAATCCCAACAAAATACCACAAAAGAAATCACTGCCGAAACGCAACGACAGTTACAAAGCCTTTCGCAAGCTGTTGCTGACCTGTCTCTCTCCGTTCGTCCACAAAATTCAAGCAGCTCGACACTACGTCTCCCACAATTAATTCTACCGGAGTTTACAGGCAGGGAACCTCTAGATCGTTTCATAGAGCAGCTCACATACATTCTTTCCTCCTCTGGTGTTTCTCCAAAATTTTGGTTGACTTATTTAAAGCAACAATGTCAAAAAGACGCCAGAGCCTTCGACATCGTCTGCAAATTCGAGTCCGAAAAAGCTATTCAATTTTCTTCTACACGAACTTCAGACGAATTCATGACTCTTTACGATCAATGTTTGGCCACTCTTACAGCCCACCGTGGTGTACCCAAAGAACAACGTATCCGAGAACTTCTTGCCACGTACTACGCCATGCACCAGAATCCTGGCGAGTCTGTTTCCGATTTCGCACACCGTTTTCTGGAAACCCAGCACTCCCTCGAAAGGCTCATTCCTGGTATCCATCAATCTTCCAGCCCACAAACTGGTGACATGGAACTCATTCATGCCTTCATTATGAAACTTTCTCCTATTTTATCCAAGGAACTTCTCAGTCGTGATTCTCCTTTTTCCAATCTGACTGCTGCCATCGAAGCTGCAAAACGATATGAGTCAGTTCAGCACGTCCTTTCGCCTCGAGACACGCCCACTCTATGGAAGCCGGAATCTCTCCTTATCACAACTACGCAATCACCTTCTCCAGTCCAGCAAAACTTAAATTCTGGACAATCAGGTACAAAAATTTGCTGGTACTTTAATAAATTTCATAAAGCTCATTGTGAATTACCTAATAACCGATGTAAGTTTGGCTTTATTCATAGATGCGTGCAATGTTCTAAGTCTAATTGTAAGAAATTTTTACATAATTTTCACGATTCCACACGTAACAGGCCTTCTCGTGGCCAGAATCACGTACAGCCACGAGGCACCTTTAAACGTAATTCACATAATACTCGTACTTCTCCTCCTGAGTCTCGATATTCTGTATCACCTCGAATTCATAGCAATTATGCACATATTAACACAGATCATGATGCCTTTATCGTTGATACAGTAAAGAAAGTATTTAATGATTCTATTGTATCTTTAAAACAGGATCTCTCTGCTAGTATTGCACAGGAGGTAGAAAAACGTCTCCCCTTTTCAACGTCCACCCACCTCCCCGAGGCTACGCCGCAAGATCCACTTTATGGTATGCCAGCCGTAACCGCCCTTACAAGTAATCTTACATTTTCGGCCCTTCGTCTTGCGGATAAAAACATCTTGTGGACTAAGGTTACTTCTGCAGGGGTTTCCCTCCCGTTGCCTTTAGATAGTTGCTGCTCGGTGTCCCTAGTAAGTCAAAAACATGCTGCGCACGTAGCCCGTCAGCATCCCAATCTCAAATTCACTAAACTTGAGCAGCACGTCCCCGTTTCGGCAGCTGGGCCTACCTCCAATCTACATGCTGTAGGTATAATGGAAGTCCCTGTTGTATGGGAAAATGGTCGATCAGTTATATTTACAATGCTTGTTGTTCCTAATTTGACATGGCCTATTTTGTTCGGGCAGAATCACTTACGCAAGACAGATGCTCGAATTTACAGCAAAGATCTCAAGGTGTACTTTGCTGATTCTGCCATGAATTTCGAAATTTCATGTTACGATTCCAATCCGTTATTGGTATTTCCTAGTATGCAATGTCAAGGTAGTATACCCCCTGCTTCCAGCGCAAATATCACATGCTTAGCAACATCACTACCTAAATCTTCCGGGGGTACCCAACAGGTTTTGCTCCGTAAGGGGTTACATTTTTTGACAGTCAGCTTAATCTTAGCTATTTCATTTATGTGTTCTCTCTTTTCCTCGGGATCCCAATGCCTAGCAAGTCAGCAATTTTCCCCAGGCTTGCAAACCCTAAGAGTTCCAATTAGCCGTCCCATCCCTCTGAGTTTGGTCACAGATAGTGCCCCTCACACTCCGCATAAATTGGCCAATGACGTCATATCTGCGCCTATGCACGTTTCTACTGCTAACGTCTATGTTCATAGCGACGCTGACTCGATTAATCAACTAGGTACACATGACGATAGATTGTCATTTACTCATGCCATCAGTCATGCCATTCAAACCATTGTTGACAATTTGTATTCCTTTGTATGCAACACTGCCATGCGTCAAGCACACACTAATGTCTCTCACAATAAACCCCATTCTTCTGTGACCGTGCACAAAGACTCTACTGCCCTACAGAAAAATTTTCCAGACGTTTCTAAACTGGATTCTCTTTTGACGTCATACATCAAAGACCCGATTCTAGAATACCCCAAGTTGCTTATGCGCACGTCCAGCTTATGTAAAGATTCGAAGATTTTGTGCCCATACCTCCACAAACCAGGTCGCATATATTTAGGCACTTATATACTATATTTAAATCCGGAAATTTTTTGTAATCTTTAAAAAAATGTAATCTTTCGCTTTCATTTTTTTCGATAAGGAGGAGTAGACTGTAGTAGGAATATTCTCCTTTTCAGTATTAACCTCGTTATCATGTTACTTATGACGCACTTAACTTAAGGATATATAATGCTGCACGTAGACAGTTAGAGGACTTTTGATTTCGATGATGAAGCAGAAAACATAAACGAAGTTCGTTTCTCTTCGTCTCACTTCTTCGATAAAGATCCCGCTACACAATGAGTTTTACATCGTTTTTGGACAAATCTCGAGGATCATATTTTAGAAAGTGGGGGTCCGGACCCCCTATTCCCCCCCCCCTCGGGTACGCCACTGATCTTAAATGAAAACGAACGTACAAAGTAGCGGTTTTTTCGTGCTTATGTAGATAGTTTCCAAAACTGCTAGATGGAACGACGATCTATGTTCTGACGAAAGAGTGTCAGGCGAAAAGATTAAGCGTACACAAATGTTTGCTTTTTTCAAAGCCATTTTTACGTTATGTACCACAAAAAGCAAAAAGATTTATATTGTTCAAGAGGCCCATCGGAACCGGGGGGCTGGAGCCCCCTAATAATTATCAAACTGTGGTGTTTTTCCTTTATAACAGTGTACTGAATGACAAAGAAAACAATGGGCAGCCCCCCCCTCCAATATGAATTTCGTTCCGACGGCACTGTTTCAATTATTATCTCATTTGACAATCATTTACTCGACAAATCACATCTAGGATTATTTATTTGAAATCGGGGGAAAACCTATGTAGGTCCAAAATATGTTTCTGAGCATTTGTTACTCTAGACGTATCACAAGACAATAGATTCTTCAAAATAAAAATGCAAAGTTGTATCAGTTATATTCTATATCAGTAATATTTTAATAAACTTTATTAATACAAATGGACTTCTAGTTTACCCTTGATACAAATCAGTGTGGATACGAATCCTAGTGACATGTCATTTACAAGTTTTGGTTCCCAACGTTAGGGCAAATCTCTGAACTTCAACTGGGAGTATGAGCAATAATAACGAACAACCAGAAAAATGAGGTGAGCTAAAGTCTTTACTCTTTGCTTAAAATAGCGAACTATAAACTTAGAAATCAGAAGGGGTCTTAGGTACATTCCCTCCACTTATGGAGGTGAAAATACACCCTTGCCACTTCAAAGTACCCTTTTTGTACGGTTCTTCGTTTTTCATTTTAGGTTTGCTTAAAAATAACATGAAACTTCCAGTCAACTAAAATAGGACAATTTATCCATGCTGACCGTAATTGGTTTTCTGCGAGACAAATTTATGGTTCTATCGAAGAAGACAATACACAGTTTTGTGGACTGAGATCCTTCGAAACCTTCGCCCTGGGTTCTATTTAAAGATTAATTGAAAAGTAATATGACGGTGTTTTGTTCCTAAATCTTGCTATATTGTAATTACCAAATTCAAAACCACTGTTTCATTTCTATTCTGTTCACCATCAGCATCAATCAAGTGCGTGCCAAACGTGGGAACTTAAAATCGAACTACGTCAAATGCATTTATAATACAAATTGGCAGCCAAACCCTGTATGGATCTGCGAAAGGGCCGTGCCGCGAGATATTAAACTGGAAACAATCAAGGAAAAAAGTAACAAGAAAATCGTTAAACGGTACGAAAATCGGTACGAAATTAGAACTGTCCCTAATATTAACCGTACCAACCATTAAAAGGACGAGACTGCACCGTCCGACTTGTACTTATTCAATACGTCGTCAATTATGTCACGTGTGAGGTCGGCATGACCACTCGTGTATATGAGTGCAGGACGGAAGCGAAGTGCTGTGTCGCCAGATCCGTGGATTGAAAGACCTGAAAAGTAAGATTCAGCTATCAGACTCAAACTTGGACGAGCGACTGGCAAGTCAGGTCAGGCTCAAACTTGGACGAGCGATTCTAAGTTTGTGCATCATCGTCAAAATTCAATAAGGAATGTCTTTCATAATGTATGGCTACAAGTGGGCGTGACAGAATATAACCATTGAAGAACCATTAAAGCATTAAGGCAATAAGTTAAGCAAAAAACACTAAAATAGATGACTTAGAGTAACAGGTCATTATAAAAGGTAAAAATACTTTAACAGGAACAATGCTTGCCGTTGCGTTTTTCATTTCTTTTATCACATTCAACTTTATCCCCCTTGCCTTCAATTGGAACATGCTGAGTGACAAGCCAAAATCAGAAAACCAGAAAGTTGAGAACATAAAATAAATTCCTACCATTGTTCCATAGCATGGAAACTATTTTGTTCCTTATCTCAGTGTTTGGAAGGTCAACAGCACAAAGTGTTCCAATACCTCTCGCATTGGATAACAAGCCAGGGTATGCGTTCTGTAAACAGGCAAATCATTAAATATAAGATTTGGTGAAGCATAAAAACAAGTGAAGAAACCATTGGGGTCAGAAAATGGACAAGACATTACTGAGTCGCTAAAGTTATAACACAAAAGGGTGTTTCATTAAACCGCCAGGGGAGATGAAGAATGCAAAGTCGGAATGAAAAGTTTTTACCAGCTAAAAAGATAGAATATAGGCCCAATGCACTTTCACTGGAAAGAACTGGTAGCATTATAAATTTGTTTGGAGTTTTCTTCCGTCCAAAAGACAGATTATGTTTTAAGCGCTCAAAAATGCTTGTGTCTATGGCCAAGGTTGATTATACAAAGAATAGCCAGAGCAAACAAGGAGGGATCTACTAACTTATTGAACAAATATTCGGTGGCTTGGGATAGAGACCAGGAGAAAAGGCAAGATAATAAACCAAGCTTTTCATAGTGATATAAAGAGGGGATGAAAAATTATAAAACTAATTACCTGCAATTTTTTAATGTTATCAAGGAGCACTGCCCCAGCCTCGCGAGTATTTTGAAGGAGATTGTCTTTTTTAATTGTTGCTAAAACCGTCTTAAGGAGGTAAACTCTTGCAGGGTCTCCTAGCCAAGTGTTGAAGATTCTGAAGGACTAAGATGAAAAAATAAAAACATTATATCATAGGAAGTATAAAATAAATATAAAATCCAGAATATTCAACCTACACATAAAAAAATATTTCGCAAAATCAAATATAAGTGATAACATTTTACAATAATGGATTTTACTCCAAAGCAGACCACAATTTGATAAATTCATTGCCAAAATAGACTTTGAAATCTTTCTACGATGCAGATTTTAGTGTTCTGTTTTTCAAGAACCATAAATGCAATATTTCCATAAATCACCGTTTTCTCTTACAAAGTATTAACATTCGGCTATCAAGTTACTTTGAAGACACAATCAACATTTGATTATTTCAATAAACCATGTCCTACCAAAGCACCTGCGTTTATTGATGCAGAAAAAACATCGGATAACAAAACCAAAACTGGAGAAGCAATTTGAATTAAGGCTTTCTTGTTATAAACTTTGGTCACTTGCTATCAATTATGCACTTATGTGTTGCCCAGATATTTGAAACAAATACTTTCATTGTTACCTCAATACGATTTGTCTTATTTATCATATGTTACAAGTAAAGGATGGTGATTGCTGAGATTAACATTGTGCATCAAGTGAAATCACCTGCACAATTGGTATTTATGTTTATTTATTTTTAGATACACAAACACGATTTATTGAGCGAATTAAGATAATAATAAAAACTACGAGCTTCATTGATCAACATTATGCTCGTTTAAATGTTAATTTTTAATCTTTAAAACCTCAGAATTTAGACTGTTAATTCTATCTTTAATTTAAGCTATGTTTATTGCTTGTGTTTTATTGTTATGCTTAACTACCAGTTATTCACAGAGATAAATTATCATGACCAAAATATTGCAAATTTGTATGCTTTATTGAGACATTAAGGAAAAGTTACAATGAATAAAGTGTCTCATCTTCATGTCTAAAAACATTTATGTTAATGACCAATAGTCTAAAAAGCATTTTTATGACAATAAGGGCTACGGTTTTTTTAGCAGGCTCCAAGCAGCAAACTAGCACTGTACAATCCCATGATACACTTTAAACCTACCCTGACAGTAGATTATAGCAAACATGGGCAAAGATATTGGAAATTATTGCCTCAAGGCATTGGAAAGATTTCACGCTCTGTTTAGGTTTTTTCGAATTACAGTTCATTATTTTTTGTCATATTCTGATTAATATTCCATTTTGGCCAATTAAACCTTTAAAACCCTTTTGGAAATAGAGACAGCAGATTACTGAATGCACCAAGGCAGTGAATTGGTACGCTTATCCTCTGTTACATAGCTTCAACTAAGATCGCCTATCCCATCTACTACCTAGCCCTATAAAGAGGGTTTTCAGGTGCCATAACCCAATTGAAAAAGCACTGACTCCTTAAATACACAATTGGTACTGATAAAGCTTTTCATCTACCAAAGTATCGTTAGATTATTCTACTTACTTTGCATGACTATACCAGACTGAGGTTTGGCATTGTAGCGCCATGCATATCAGGGCAAAACAATGATTATCCAGATAAATATACTTAGAAAGCTTAAATAATTGAAGATACAGTTGACTCAATTTATTGTTACTCTGGGGATGTTAAAATCACACTATCAGTTCCAGTTCATAACAAGTTTATGCTTTCCTTTTCAACCACCTTTCACAGTAAAAGCACTTGAAGAAAGAAATTCAAATACCTAAATGTAGATGTAGTAAATTGATGTTACCCTTAGCCCTGTATATGTTAAAATGGGTCCCATCTAAATACTTGATGAGCCCTTCTCAAACTAATCATAGATTTATATAAATACCAGTGGTAGCTGGTGTAGCTTTTTTGGAGCCCTTCACACCAGACGCTGCAGCCAGTCCTCTATAAATGAGATTTAAAGGAACAGCACATATTACCATACTTATCATTACAGTGTGTTTGTGTACCACATGCACAATTCATAGCAACACTGAAGTCAAAAGACTGGAGGAAGAAACCTGATTGAAAAAAGCAAGGCTAGATACAGCCTGGTGTAAATAAAGGCTGATTTTGTCAAACTGGATGGCCTGAGCAAAACTGCTGCAGAAAAGCAGTAAAATAAGGCTTGCATTTGAAAAAATGAAATGATGCTTTCGAATCTGGTAATTAATCTTTTAGAAGAAAATAGAACACCCCAACATGCTGAGAACAAACAAAAACAAAAACAAGTAAATTAAGAGCAAAATACAATTTATCTTTTCTAGGCTCATCCGAGCTTCAAGAAAATCAAGTGGACAGATCCTTGCAGTTTGCAACAAAAATTATACAAATTGCTGAGCAGGACCAGGAAACTCTCAATGCTTTTTCTTGAGCTCAAATAATATTGGGTTGGGATGCTAATAACAATCAGATTTCTTCCTTGCGTTTGATTTAGTAACAAACAACAGAAAAACACAGTTTGATTATGAATTAACATTCATAATATTCTAAAATGCAAAGAAATTTCAACAAGTAGTTTATCCCTGAGCTAAAATAAACTAAAACAAGATAAGAATATAAGGAAATGGTATATGTAGCAGACTCACATGCTGTGTCAAGAAATCATCCTTGAAGTAATATCCTCCAACCAACATTTTTTTGGCAAATGTTACAATGGAAGGTGGTTCAGGAAGATCCCAGTGTTCATGAGCCCTAGAGTATGAAAATAAAATCATGTTTGAAAAGCAGGAAAAATGCAAAAATATTCCAAGGCAAAGTGACAAGTTTGCAACCAATGTATAACTCTGTGCAAATAACCTCTTCCATTTGCAAACATCTTTTGAGGAATTTTCTAGCAACTTATCGTGGAAGTGAATGCGTAAGGGACTAAGATTGTGGAAAAAATTAAGTTAGAAAATATACGCACCAAAATTTTCCAGATGCTCCTACACCAGTCTGAACTTCATCAACAATGAATGCAGCATCATACTTGAAAAAGAAAAAGAAAATCTTGAATTCAACCCTGTTTATGACAATCATTATAAAAAAAATGAAATGAAGGAATGCTACCTTTGCTTTTTAGTCTATTATTTCTAGAGCTATGACTACACAAACTCATAGACAAAAATTTCTGTAACAGACTACACTTAAAAAGATCATATTTATATTTTTGAAGTGGATGTCACTGGTAGACTGACCTTGTTACAGATTGCTTGCAATTGCCGAAAGAATGATGGTGATGCATGGTTGTCACCTATGAAGAAAGCCAACATATTAGTAAATTTAGATCAACTGAAAACACAATGCAATGCTGGAAGGGCATGCATTGCTTCTTGAATTGGCATGCATTGCTTCTTGAATATTGAAGTAGACCCTACAAGCATTGGAAGACATCAATTTGACCTGAAAAAATGTTGGTACTTCATAAATTATAAAGAAGGAAAATGATCAGATAAATGTTATAAATACAGAAATGTTTTCAAACAATACCTCCTTCAGACTGGACTGGTTCAACAACAATACCAGCTACACATTTGCCAGAGGCATTTTGTTTCTTGATTATCTTCTCCACCTTGAAAAACAATTTAAGCCCAAGTTAATCCTATTGAAATCATCCAGTGCTAGAGCAATGGGAGGGCAAAGGTGAGGCCCCCAAATGATCAAATAGGGTCTATATGACCAACTTAGGCAAAGATACTGGGAGATAAGATATCATAAAGCATGGTTTTACACTCTTTATTCTTCATGTACAAAGTTTTTCAAAAAATGCAGTCCTCAACAATCTTACAGGAATGAGCACCTATAATTGACAAGGGTTTAACCCTTGCTTGCCCTCTTTGTTTGACAAAATTTAAAATTGAATATGTCAGAGTTGCTTTTTTTCTAGGTAACTGAAACGCCCTTTGCGAAATACCAAAAGCTGATGATGCAATCAAACTTAATTTTTGCCTCTGAGAATCACCACTCAAACCATTTGCTGTTAGGTTATCAAATAAAAAGAATTGTCAAAATTAATAACCAAACACTGATGTAGACTTCAGTTGAAACATTTAAGCGATAGTATTTTTTCTGAATACCTTTATTATTTTTATTAGACTCGGTGCATGAACTTTTGAAAGTATTTATATTTATATATATATATAAATTTATATATAAGTATTTTACTGATAAAGCGAAAGCGAAACCTGTTACGAAAGTGTTTTCTTTGATTTCATAAACTATCGTTTCAACATTGTGCAATTATGAGCTTTGAATACACATATATATATATATATATATATAAACTTTCAATAAAAAAACAACTTGTTTGATGTTTCGCTGTAAGCTTCTTCAGAATGATACAATAGGTAAAGCTACAATTGAATATACTCAAAGTCATAAGAAATTTGCAACATCTTTTCTCAGTTAATTCTATTGGTTTGTGTTATCTATAAAACATACCTGCTCTAAGCAAAAGGCTTCTTCTTGTTCATTTTCTTCCACATGGTCCTCAAGAGGATATTTCAATCTTGGAAATTGTGTCACAGGCCAATCAAAGGCTGGGATGTCAACTTTATGCAAAGCTTTGCTATGAGTTGCTGACAATGCACCTATTAGAAAAAACCTAAATCATTAAAAGCAATAGCAAAAAAAAGAAATATTGACATCTTTGTGAAATTACATTGAGTGTCAATTTTCGGGCAAAAGATTTAATAATAAACATGAAAAGGATTTGCATTTTAGTTGATGAACTAAACTTTAATACCACTGCATAAGGTCTCTTGCAGCATATAATAACTATGAATAAAAGTGAATTTTACTAGGAATAAATAAAAGATTAATGAATAACGACGTTTTGAGCAAAGCCCGTTATCAAGTGACAACAAAGCAACATTCTCTTCCAGCATGTTGTATACTTAAAATGATGGATATAAAAAAATATTTTTCTCACCAAGGGTTCGTCCATGAAAACCACTAGTGAAACTGAGGATGCAGAGATTTGGGGTACCAGGTAACTAGAGGAAAGGAATGTTTTAGCACCAATAAGCATCCTCGTGAATCCAAAAAACTAACTTAAATATGGTGTTAAAAACATAGTAAAATATCTCATAGAAAATAGGCAACAACCTTGTCATCAGTACTGGCTAGTCTTAGGATGGTGGGATGCTTGTTGTCTGTGGCCAAGGCCAAAGGGAACTATACAACTGCAGAAAGGCACTATAACATCCACTCATATGATCAAACCATCATTATAACACATATGGATACTAAATTATTCTAACACATATGGTAATAGTAATGACTGAAGAATGTGAAAACCTTACGTTCATACTACACATTAGAAATTATGATGACTGAATATCTTTAGTTGAATACCTGATGCTTCATGCAAGTCTCCAGTTCAAGAAGCGAAGGGTCAGGGGTACCCCGTTGTAAGGCCTACAAAATGTAAAGTTAGAAGATTTCAGATGATTTTGCATATCAACCAAAATGATATGTTAAAAAACGATTAACCCACAAAATACATTGATAATTAAAGAGATAACTATAATATAAAGGCTCTGTAACCTAAGTTGAAATTTGATGTAATTTTCTATCGAAATTTTTGCAAATGCAACATACACTCTTTGAGAATTGAAAGTGGACTATTGAACAAAGAGCAATGAGTAAGTTTGGTGCTGTTTATGCCATATCCCACAAAGGTCACCAGTTATCTTCAATGACTAAGTCACTCAGACGACCAACGCAGTAACACAAAGCAACTTACAAGGTAACTGAACAAGGGACAACATTCAGCATTAAAATTGCTATTCATAACCAAATGCATTGCACGAGTTTGAACTAAAGGTGGTAGTTTTGCTTCATACCCTGTATCTAATAAATGCTGCTTTGAATGCATTTTCTAGAGCACAGGAGCCGCAGGCCATTGTTTGTGCATGGTCTAAACCAGCTGGTGCAACCTGCAAGAAATGCAAAAGAATAGCAAAATATGCAAAGGAATAATGAAATAAAGCAGTGCTTGATGTTAAAATAGTTTATTTGCTTCAGTCCTTATCATATTAGGAAAACAAATGGCTTAACTTCCTTGTTTAGAAACATTATTTTAAGAATACTTTCAATCCACATTTGGATAAAACTTTTCAGTTTAATTTTTGTAATTATTCAATGCTTATACTCTGAAAAATGTCAAATGAAATGTACTTCAGTATACTATGTTCCACTATTTTGTGCCATTTTCAATGCTATTTTTTAAAGTGTCGTCTTGAATGTTATTTTGTAACATTTACTATAATTTCCATTGAATATATGTTGTTTTAAACCCAGCAAGTGTTGGAGAACACAGAGCCAGACAAAACATTGATTTATCATGATTTTTTTAGTCCATCCCAAAGAATTGTTTCTGGTTAGATTGTTTATGCTCTAAATAAATAAGATTGGTTATGCTTTTGAAAAACCTGGAAGATTCCACTCTGGAAAGTGTTTTCAACTGATACCCCCATAAGCCTCTGTCTTAGGCATGCTTTACTACCTATCTTTCATCCTGACCCAGGGCACATAAATTCTCTCTGCCCGTTGGCAAAATCATAGAGCCTCTGAAACAGTTGAAGACATGATTGATGGCCCCTTGAAAGTGCATGTGCAAGGCCACACAAACTTCAGAGAGTTGGAAAATAAACGCCCTTATGTGTTATTTACTAAACATTTAATCCACATTTCTGCTTGTTACTGGGTTGTTTTGCTTGTTACTAGGTTGTTCCGCTTGTGCCTTATTTTAGCAACAGCGGGGGTAAAATACAGAATTTTACAGAAACATTTATACAGAAAGCAGATTCTGTGTTTTAAAAAGAGATTTTGCCATCAGCCAACTGTGCAGTATTAACAATAGGCACTGTAATAGGAAAACAAATGGCCATCAAAATGGGGTGGGCATAATGAGAGCACGGGAAGTACAAAACTGCTGTTTAATTTACCTTTAAGATTGACTCTTCAATGTTGCTCATATGAGCCTTTGGTGGGGACACACCAAGTGCAGATCTGTTGACAACCATTGTCTATGGCAAGACAAAAGGACTTTCATTACTTGATACATTCAACGAGAAGAGGTAGTAAGGTTGCAAGTGTTATCATGATTTATCAAACATATTCTTTTGCCAAAAAATACTAGTTATCTACTCTCATATACTTGAAAGTACTGCAAAATTCTTTGCTGAAAGGGCGCCTGGGAGTAAATTTTTTTCATATTACCTTTTCAAACGTATGGAAAATGCAAGAATAAGGAAAATTAACAATTTCTTTATGAAGCAATTTCAAAACTCTTCAGCTGGAGGGTGGGTATAGGGGTGCTACAACCCCCCCCCCCCCCTTCGAATTTGGCCCAGCTATACATTAGGGAAATATGCATCTTAGATGAATGAAAGTCTTTAATTGTCTCTAAATAGCAAACAAAAAGCACACCAAAAGACATAAATTGGTCGGATCAAAAGCAAATTATCAGTTGATATGCACGTTTTTTGCAAGCAACTAAGAATTTGAGCGAATGCTGATAGTTTCTCGGTTTTTTGCTCATTTGAGTGTTGTATCTCTTAAAAAATAAACACAGATACTTCCTTGCTAGCATAAAAAAGAAATCCACGAAGAGCCTGATTTCCTGTTGATCCTCTTCAACAAAGTTCTTTGACAGTTGTAATTTTTGTCTGAAGGGCTTGCAAGCGGTGGTTAGTCATAAAAAGTATTTTGCCGCCTCTACATTTTAGCCAATATGAGGGCCCATCATTAGAATCACAATTGTAAAAACAGAATCCGCTGTGTGGAAGCCCTCTGAACACATTCAAGGTTCAGTTCAGTTTATAAGCAACTTGCAACATTTTGAATAGCTACTGTTTACAAATTAAAACTTAAAAGGATGCAGGCTAAAAATAATTAAAGGAAAATGCATGATGAGATATATCTGGCACGGTCTTTCAGTACAAAATGTTGCTAGTGAGTTAATCCCCACTGTTTCAAAATAGTTAGAGATATGTGCACTTTGAACACCCAGACAATGGTCATTCACTTGATCTTTCACAACATAATTAATTGGAAACAGCTAACTTACAAGCAAAACCATAAAACAGCACTAGTTAAAGGTAAATGATTGCATTATCAGAATCCCAGAAGTATAGGGAGGCTGCTAGGCTGCTTTATTTCAAGGACCAAGAACAATTGAATTTTACGTCATCAGAGAGTCCCATGACAAAGACTTTGCTGTTTCCGTTATTAGAAACTCGAAAGTAAAAACGTGACCGGGAGCCTCAAACTAGCTTAGATGGCAGATACCATATTATTTCTACCTCATTTGTTGTGTCTAGCAGATAAAAGCATCAAACTGATTAAGACTTTGAAAAAAGTTTCATTACAGTAATAGCGGTAATGACCCTGCTTTGCTGAGTTGCTTTGAGACATGTTTTCCATTTAGTCTGCCAACCAACAACAGTGGTACAGAATAATGAATCAACTTTGTAAAATCTGTTGAAATACAAACTTACCGTAAATGATGGTAAAGAAGCAGCCTCTATCACAGCACTATGGTTATAGCCTAAAAGCAAAAAAATATTGAAAATCCAATTTGCAATTTTGCTTAAAAGATTGTTATAGGAATGTGAAGATACTGCTTGACAAGAGGGGAAATACAAAGAGGAACAGAAACGAGTAAAATCCTTTCAGTCGCTATTTTGAAATGACATAAGAAAACAGCTACAGCTCTTCAAAAAAGTGATTAGCAAAAGGTTTTCAAACAAATGAACTGGAACTTTGTGATATTGAAAGGGTCTTCCTTGCCACTGACTCTAAAGGTAAACGAAAAGACAAAAAGTAGGCATGCATTATTATCACCATCCTTACCCAGAGGAAGTGAAGCAATTTGTTGAAACACGTCCAAATAAACATTTCCATCTGCATCAGCAAGAAAGTTGCCTTGACTTTTGTCAAAATCAGCAAATATCTTCAGGGTGCCTCTAAAACTTTCCTGCAAATATATAATATTTTCATATATATATTGGCATGGAGAATGATGAAAATTTCATACGTATTCAGAGACAATATGAACATAATCATAAAACATTTCTCTTACCACCAGGGTGATAAAATATCTGAGAAAACATTAAGAATGCTATGGAATTGGACATCATTTGCAAAAGATTATTTTGAGAAAAACGTAGATTATAATAACATGACAAAGAAATAAAACAAATTTGCACCAAGCAAATTATTACTTTACTTCAAAATAATTCCTACCCCTTGCAGCTTTATCAAATTTGCCATCGTCTCCTAGAAAGAAAAGTAAGTGCAAACAATCAGACAGTTACATCTTTGCTGAGGTGGAAAATTGGAGAAATAATTCTGGTAGAAAAAGGCACCATGTTGCAAAAAAGAAACTTTTTCAGAAAGCTTTCTTTCTTAGAAAAGGGTATTTTCTCAAAAGTTGAGGGTCAAGTGATTGGTTTGCAAAAGCAAAGGAACATTTAAAATGGAAAATTGACTGGGGTTATGAGTGTCGCTCCTTGGGCAACATTTGTTCATAAATCATGCCTTGTGTTGTAAGGCAATGTTCTACCAAAAAGCCACGAAAGTAGAAAAGAAATACGGTTATGAAAGTAATTTTTTGTCAAAACTAGAGCAGGGGCGAATCCAGAGAAAATTTGAAGGAGGGGCAGCTGGAAGTCGGGGCACTGAAAATCTTTCAGAAATTGATGATGAGTGCATGCTGTATTCACTTTGTAAGGAAATTTTTTCACAATAATGTTGAAAACTTTGAAGAAATCTTTGAAGTAAATTAACCTAGAGGTCTCAGAAACTTTTACACTTGCTTCTCATTCTTCAAAAGAGGCGAAAAATTTCCAAAAAAGGGGCTCAAAATATCCAAAAAGGGACGCTAGACTTGCCTCAACTCGGTGAGGGAGGGGCAACTGCCTGCCCCCTAGTTGCCCCCCTAAATCCGCTACTGAACTAGAGGAAAGCAAATGTTGATTTATTCTGCTGTCTGAGAAACATTGCCAATCATCTAGAGCAAAAGCATCTTATGAGATCAAAGTAGAAGAATTATTACCTGTGAAACGGGGCCTGGATGCTGTGTGCGCATAATTGGCTCAAAATAGTCTCCATCTTCTTTGCAAAGAAATGGCTTCACTTTCAACTCTAGGTTTAGATATACATCGATTAATACACCAAAATACAATTGACACCCTAAAAATTTACGGAGGATTTGGAAGCATTTTCACTATTACTGTTACTCTGTAGCTCTGATAACACAGTCGGTAGGAATCTTCAAGTGATAAACACATTCGGTAGGAATCTTGAAGTGATAAACACAAGAGAAAGTCGTCCATGTTCCCCTTTAAACTGAAATTTCACGTTGAAAACTTGGTGCCAAACCTCGATCGTCGAGGCAAAAATGTTAATTTTCTGTACAATATTTTCAGAAGTATGAGATCAAAACACTATTTGGGAATAAAGGTTTGCATCTTTTACAACAATACTATACACATAATTTAAAAAGGAATTCCCTGAAATTTTGACCATTGCTATTTCCCTAAAACAGAGCGTGTAAAATTGAAAGGAGTTTGCCCTATCTGAGCAAGTACTGCAAACCAGAGTCCAGAAAAGTCTGCAACCTTCCTCCGGTCAAATTTTCCCCCGTCAAAACCTTACTCCAATTGTTTAAGCAATAGCCTTGGACATGGCGTGGCTAGAAAGTGGCTGCAGCATAAGGGGTGGAGCTGAAAACCCACTCCGGAAAAAGATCCGCGGATCGGATCAGATCGTGTTGTCTTTTCGATCCGCGGAACGTGTCAGATTGGAATGCACGTTGACATTATCTCCACGGGATTCTTGCCTCATGACGCAAATGCCCTATTGTTTAAAGTTAAAATGATTTCAACTTTTTTTCGATCCATTTCGATCCGTTGCGGATCAGTCATGTGACGATATTTGCATCCAAAGCGCTTGCGCAACACAAAATCTGATCCGATCCGCGGATTATTTTCCGGAGTGGGTTTTCGGCTTGACAGATGCAATAACTCGAGACAAAGTTATGTGTTTGGGTCGATGGAAATCATTGCATACGATAAAACTTTGATAAGATACCAATCTCATCACAGCTCAAGAATAACATTTCCTTTTAAATGTCGAATAATAAAATCGATGGAAACATGATACAATATAACTTGAAAAATTTCAAAATCATAGAGCACGAACAGCATTCTCTTCTCTTTTCAAACCGCCTTTACGTAACTCAGGCGGTAAAAAGGCGTGGCCTAAAAATTTTGCGTCCGTTTGTGCGACCATTCGACTCTGCGACAGATTCAACGTGTGTTTTAAAATCGCAACAAAGAAACAAGTGCGAAATAAGTTGTCTCAATTATTTTCTAAAATTCTATTTTACCAAAACCTTTCTCCAGATCTCTATTGTTTCGCAAACCTTCCTCCGGTCAATGACCGTGCGACCGTAAATTACGGTCCGTAATGTTTTCTGGACTCTGCTGCAAAAACTTTTCAACGTCAACGTTTTGGAGGAATTAAACACAGTGCTTCCGCTATTCAAATTTCAATTTCCTTAAAGCGAGGCTGAAATTCTTCAAAATTCCTCAAACCGGAATTCTATTTTCTGTGAATATTTCCTTGTTAGTTTTACCCCATGCCATGACTAACAGTTAGTATGCATATACAAACTTTGAACGATGAATGAATAATTCATTCATTTTATGCTTTAAATGGCCATTTGAATGCTAAGGTGTTGAAACAGTCAAATAATCATCATAAATTATAAAACTTGAAAAGGGGATCCCCTAGTCACGTATTCCGAAATTTCTGCTAGTATCTTTTTCTCTTTCCTGTTGCTAAAGCTGCACTTTTACTGTGAAAAAATTTTCGCTTCATCGTGACGATAGATCAATTCGAAATGACAGGGCCTCCGACGAAGGGGGGGCCGGCGGCCTTGGCCCCCCACTTTTTTGCAAAACAATAGAGTTTTTTTCAAAATCTTTTGTTATGGGTGTTAATTTTTCCCTTGGCCCCCCATTTTTCAACCTTTGTCGGAGCCCATGAATGAAGTTTAAGTCCAACTGTTTAAGCCCAAAGAAACGATCTGACTTATTCAAAAATACGGAAAAAGTTATTCAAAAACACGTGTTTCCTTTAGAATCGGCGATGGGTCATCATCACCTACAAGCGCCAACGGCTCTATAATTGCAACCTTCAGATATAAGAAAATCAACAACTGACAACCTCTTGGGTCGTCATTAGGACAATTCTACCGCAACTTTTTCGTTGCTAACGCATAAGACGCTATATCTTCGCTGTTACATTACACATCTAAAAGAGCAAACATCGAAAATATTTTTAACTTTTGGAAAAAAAGTTAATACTCTAAAAAGTGCTTGAATCTTGCAATTCCTTAAAAAATTCCTTAAAGGTATTGTGTCCAGCTATAGCAAGCGACTCTGCAGGAGTTTTTAGAAACATGTGATTTTCATGTCATCGCCCCAGTCATTACGGTCGTTCTGTTTATTTATCCTGCTGCGAGGTCAGCTTTTCATGTCAGCAGTTTTGCATTGCAAGAACACTAACCAATCGCAAATTGTTATTTTGATGGGTGGCTTGAAAAGTTGGGTATACGCAGTCCTTTTATATGGACACATTATCTTTAAATCTTGTAATTCCTTAAAAAAATCCTTGATCTGAGGAAAATTCCTTAAAAGTGGAAACACTGATTAAACATGCCAAAAACCAAGAGCAAGACACCTTTTTTATGATTTTAAGTACATTTTGGAATTTATTGGGGGGGGGGGCTAAAGCCCCCTCAGCCCCCTTGGCATGGTCCATAAACTGTAATGCTAAATAGAGCGGTGAAAACTTACCTTCACTTGCAAACCTTGCTTGAATGTATCTTCCAAGAACAGCTGGAAACCGTTTTCTAAGACATCGGGCTTGAGAGAGAGCCATTTGCTGCTCGAAAGGAACAACTTTTGCAAAAACAAACAAACTGCTGTGTGCAAGTTCAATAAAACCTGGAAAGTGAGGAAAAACAATTATACAGCTTTCTAAGTAATTTTGTTAGAGCATACTCATAAGAACTTTGGTTTAAAGCTCTGTTTTTGCATAAACTTTAGGAAGATTTCTACAAGAAACTAATTGAAATTAGAGCAACAAGAAGCTTTGGGGCGGGCAGAGGAGGCTACCATACATTGTTTCAGTTCGCAATTGAGGAGCTCACGGGGAGATCACAAGTACTGTACATTTTATGCTTGCTATTTATCGGTTAAGTATGGTGCAAGCAAATAAACGAAGGTTAAAGTGTAAACAAAACATGTAGTTTTGTCTCCGTCGCTCATCATCAGTTCAGTTTGCATCGTGGCAAGGCCTAGAAGGGGGTTAGAAGTAGAACAAAGTAGCTGAACTGTGCAATGGGTAACTTTCACAGAATCTTTAGGACAGTTAAAAGGGTTAAGCAACTAATCAATAGCAGGCCATAAGCAACCACGCCACGAACGTCAATTGAATTTAGTGCTTCAAAACAGGGCCTCTTTTGAAATTTTATTATTTACCAAAAAATTTTTATTATTCACGGTGGCGCGGGCCCTGTTTGGGGAACTTCAGAAGAGCCTGAAGTCTATTGTTTCTTCATTTTGAAAGCGTACTGTGAATGCTCTGCAGACTGGTACTCTCTGTTGCAAGCCGAGCGGAACGAAATAAAGTAGATGTGAACAAAGTTTTGTCACGATTACCTCGAAAGAGAACAGTCTAACAAGCTCAAAAACAATAAATTGAACGAATCGCGCCTCTGTTGACAAGTAAAACTGGTATTTTTCGTATCACATTGTTTGAGAGCATTCTAATGTAACGGGTTTTATCACTTGCTTATTTTATCGCATTCAAATGTAAATCGCGCCGCAAGCATCTTGTCGCACCACAGAAATATCTTAAGATCAACAATCCTGGGTTTCATACGCATGAACTGCATTCAATCTGCGATAATTCGCCTTCTTCGTTGAATAAAAACAACTCTTACTTCATAAAACAAATCTACTGAATAAAAACAAATCTATGTTTGTTTAAGCGTTGCACACATTCTAGTATGCAGATGTTTCACGCCCGAAGTATTAAGTTTCAATGCAAAGAAATGGGTCAAAGAAAATGCTAAATAAAAAAGCTTTATGCAGTTTCTCAATCGAAGTTATTTCAGTTGTCATATCTTTTACAAGTTAGATGTTATTGCCGTCTGATTTGCCACCATCTGTTGGCATCAAACTTCAATCCGTCGGTAGACCAGAATGTCATAAATGATAAAAACAACAAAATATTACCATACATACCAACAGACAACCAGATAATTATCTGAACTTAAATTTTCGCTTTACAGCTACTTTCTTGCAGCCAAAGATGTCGATTTTCTGTGCTCTGTCAGCTTTTTGAAGTCTTCGAAACTTTACTAGCCTTCTAGCAAACAGCGTCTTTGAAAAATTCTTGTGAGACGTGCAGTTGGCCAAATGCGTCCGTTTCGCTGGTGACGACTGCAGTCACGTGAACTGGATAGCTTAAATGATTGGATAGCCTTCACCAAAGACGGGTTTTTTATTGGTTTTCAACGATCACGTGTGGCAGACCTTTTGGTTCACAATAGACGAATAGGTCTATACTAGACCAAACCGGCTATCAAACAAGTTTTACTGGATCATCGATACAGGGTTGTTGACAAAGAAAAGAATTCGGGAGGAGATCAGCAATCAACCAAACCACTTGACTAAACATACGAGTCAAATGGCTCTGTTTTCCATTCATTCAATAATAATTACACAATACTCCCTCAGCCACACAATTCAGTTATAAGATTCAGTTCTTAACAAAATAATAACTAAATAGCTCAAATAATGGCTGCACTTCCAAAATGTTGTATTTTCATTTGTTTCTAGGTTGAAGTTACAGATGAAATTTCTGTCAAATATTTTTGAGACAATTTAAGCAACTGCAACGGCGGATTTATGTAAACTTTGACTGCAGATTGTTACACAGGGCCCGCGCCACAAATTTGAAAGTGGGGGGCAACGCTAAAAAAGTACGGGGCCAAGGCTTCTTACCCCTTTTACTGCAGCTTTAAAACTACTTGCTTCGCAATAAAGTGGGAAGGGGGCATGGCCACCCCGGCACCCCCTGGTGGCGCGGGCCCTGATACACACGCTTTACAGCTTTAAGCGCCGTTTTGTTGCACCGCTCTATATAATGGAGATGAGGGAAGACAGTGAATGAGAGCTGACAGAACGAGCTGAGTAAACTGTTCAAAGCTTCAGTCCCAAAAAATGAAGTTTCAGTGTTTTCCTTTTGTTCTTCTGCTTAAAGTAGAGATGAATGAATTATCTATTAATTTTTGTGGTCTGATCGATTACAAAATGACGGGCAGAAGTCGACTTTAATCGTTTTTATTTGAGTGCAGTTTAGGACTGCAAAGAGGCCTCAAGCTGAGAAGACACCTTCAGGCTTTTAGATATCTACTTCGTGTTTAGCAAGTCCCCCGTGTGATTATATACGATATATTCATAATTTTTGATATACTCGATACATTAAAAGCTTGGGGCATAAATGTTTAGGGCGCTAAGACCTTCTGAGTTTTACGCCATAAAACAACCGAACTTCTCTAATTTCCGACAAAGTGGCGGGTGCTTTACAGTGATGGGGTGGCTATGTTTTCTCTGGGTTGGCCAAGTCGATTTTTGCGCCCTATCTATATATCGTGGTTATATAAAAGCACGTGTTTCTATTATCATTATTCATTATTATTATTATTAATACCTTGATTTAAAGTTGGCAGTTCAAAATAGCTAAAGCTAATTAAGGCCAACTATTTACAAAAGGTATATACAAAAGGTACAATAATTACAAAAAACCTAAACCATCTATAAAAGTTTTGTAAATCCTACAGTGGCAATTTTTGCATTTTGTTTTCTTTTGTTTTGTTCTGTTTTCTAGAAGGGAAGTCTATTTTTGCAACTTGAATCTAAAATTTCATGAATAAGATTTTGACTAAAAATGCGAATATGAATGCAAAAAGTTATGTTGTAATCCTAACATTTGACCTTCTCGATCGTGGTTCGGTTAAATATCAAGCTATTTTGAATTGGCTTATTTTCGAGAGTCGGCCTATTTTCGAGGAAATAAATACGGTAGGCAAATCATGAAATACTAATCAAAAGACATTCTATTCAATTACACTGATGTTTCATACAGGCTGACGGCCCCTTGAATTCGTTTATTATTTCCAGAATACCAGCTTCAGAGTAAAATAACGTAGAGCAAATTTTTCTTTCGGGCTCCTTAGTTTTTTAACTAAAGGTAACCTTAGTCTATTTGCCACTGCTTATGGGCGAATTTATCAGCCTAGTCTCATCGTATTTATCGGATGTATGATATACAAACATGGTTCAAGTTTGTTATTCTTAGTAGTTATTAAATAGTAATTCTTTCAACAACTTGAGAGTTTCAAGCATTGAATCACACTATTGAATCGGACAGAGGCGTCGCCATGAAATTGAATCTGGGGTTGGGGCTAAGAATCAAGTTTAGTGACAAAGGAAGATCCACCATGGTTGGGTCCGACGCGCAAGAGAATTTTTGAAATCAAGCCTTCTAGAATGGCTAAAAATGCATCTCACAGGCTAAAATTTAACAAATTACTACACCGCTCAGAATAGACATTTTGTTGTGAAAACATTTAATCTATTGCTGGTTCTCCAGAATATTGAAGAGAAAAATTACACCAATCTTCAATTTCTCATCATATTAATCAATCTGTTTTAAGTTCTATGTCTACACTCTACACTCTACACTCCCAATCTGTTTACTGTAAAAATAATTACTCTAAAGACACTCCCAATTACAAAACATAACAATAAAAGGTATTAATGAGCTAAATATCAGTAATATGTGATTTTCACAATTGCTCTGCAGCCATTATATAAAATCTCAAGACAGAGTGACAAGCTTAACAGATTAGTCATTAGTGCTAAAAAACAACAACAAGAATATCACCTATTGTGATGCGTTTGTGGGAATATGGTGCTGCGCAGCGCAAAGTTCCCCAACATTCCCCCCTTCTTGATCCACTATGGATCAAGCATGAGTTTGGTCTTGGCGCGTGCATTGCTAGCTGCTGTGCGCTGAGGACGTATATTTGCCCCTCTCTTACTCCGTACCTCAATTTTCACTTCATTCTCATTACTTTCTTTTCCTTCCTTTTCCATTCCTGATTTTTGGTCTCCTTTCTCTAAGTTTTCTTTCTTTCCATTCCTGATTTTTTTCCTGGCTTTTTTCCTCCTCAAATTGCTGATAAATCTGTATGTGTATGATACAACTCTCAGCAACTTGCTAAAAGTTCCATACCGATTGATGTCAATTACTTCACTCAACCCCATAGGCTCTTCTGAGACAGACATTAAAACTATATTCTTCTTTCTTTCTTCAATCACTTCTGAAGATTCTTCAACATGGGAAACATTTGGCCAACTCTCTACCCCACTTATCAACCATTTGGGACCTTCCCACCAAAGTCTGTCATTCTTCAACCCAGTACCTAAAACACCTCTAGATTCTAAATCTGCAGGATTTTCTAGCCCTACTACATGGCCTACAGAATAATGTTCCCCATTAAAGGGTATGTCATTTATAGCTTTCTGATGTACATCATCATCAATTCTTACCCCAACAGTTTCCAAATCCCACAATCTATGAATACTTTTGTTCACCTCTAGCATGTCCTTGCTACTTAAAGGAGTAGGCTCAATAACAAGGGAAACAAGAGTATCAGAATCAAAATTGTCATTCTTACATGAAACTGGTCCTGACAACACCCATCCAAGTATCGTCTTCACTGCCACTGGTTCTTTAGGCCCCCCTCTTATAACTAGACCTTCTTGGAAATTCCACAGATAGTTGGATCCAATCAAAATATCTATTTCAAGGGAATCTGCTGACCTGCAAACATCTGAGAAATATACATTAGACAAATGTGCATAGCTTTTTTTTATTTCCTCAACATGGATATTATTGATCGTGGAAATCTCTTCAACAACAAATGCCTGAACACGAACACTCCTAGCATTTCCAGTTAAAGGTACCAAGCTTAATTCGCACACTGCTCTCTTTTTTACTTCCGGCTCATTCCTACCAAATGTTTTTATTCCCAGCTCTTCCTCTCTGAGTGGCTTCAAACCTAGCTTGTTAACAACCTTGGCAGAAATGAATCTTTTTTGGCTACCTGAATCATACAGCACCCGTACTTTGCACTTTTCATTCCCCTCTACTCTTGCCAAGGCTGTTTGCAGAGCCACTCGCTCTCCAGAAGTAGGGCAAAATGAACCTGTGCTACCAACCCAGGCCTCAACAGATGGGTTTAGGGGATGCTCGCATGTACTAGCTTGAGGCTGCTGAACTTCCTTACTTGCGCTTGCGTTGGACCTTACAGTGCCCAAGGGCTTACATTGCCTTCTAGTGCATATCAAAAAATGATGTTTACCCTTACAATATTTGCAATTTACCTTACTACGGCATTGAAATACCCTGTGCCCCTTACTCAAGCACAGAAAACATCTTGCATATCTAGACAACAAATTTTTACGTTCATTTGGTCCCTTTACATTAACACAATCTTCCGCAGAATGGTTTTCGTAACAAAATGCGCATCTCTTGCCCACTGGCTCCTGAGTAAACAGGCTGCTTGCTGTTCCAATCTTCTCTCTATGCGGCTGTTGAATTGGCCTAGGCGTAGACACTTGCGACTGAGACGGTTGCGGTCGAAAAACCGAAACGTGGCTCTCCCGGATCTCCACCTCCTTGGCTAAAGCCTCCATCATTTCATCTAGTCCCCAGTTAAGATAATCACCACCAAATCTAATCATGTTTATCCGTATTCCTTCTGGAAGTTTGTCCATCAAGACCGGAACAACGATTGACGAATAACTCTCCTTGTCAACACCAAGGGCCTCAAGTCCACGGAAATGAGTCTCGATGTCATCCAAGAAATGACGTAATCTGCCAACATTTCGTTCATTGTACACTGGAGCTAAATTTATCATGTCGTTGATGTGCGCTCTCTTTATTAAAGTTGGCTTAGCAAATCTCTTCTTTAACAACTCCACTGCTGAATCATACTCAGCATCTGTTAATGCGAGACCCGATATCACTCTTCTGGCCGGCTCATCCAAGAAACTCCGCAGATATTTGAACTTATCAATTTTAGCAAGACCAGGGTCCTCATGTATAGCGCTCTTAAAGGAATCCCAAAATCTTTGCCAGTCCTGTACTTTCCCACTAAAACTCCGCATTTGCAATTTAGGTAACTTCATTCTGACAGTACGATCGTTCCGACTCTTCGAATGCTGCAGTTCCGACTCATTCGAGTGGCCATCGTCATTTGATGCGATCGACACGATACTTTCCCTCGACGCTGAGTGAGATTTTGAACTTGAATTAATAGACAACTTTTCATCCTCCATTTCTTTCAATATGTCTTCGACACAAATCAATTCGTAATCGATCTTTTCCTGGATTTCGCTGGCCTGTTCTGCTTCGTTCTCGCAAATCTCATCCTCCGCATCTGTTGTGTACAGATAGTTTAAAATTTCTTTGTCCAATTCCTTCAAAATTATCGACTTCTCTTTCAATGCAGCTCGAAACTGTCGTAATTTGCGATCGTCAACCCCGTCACTCGCTTCATCCAAACACTCTTTAACCTTGTTAACCAACTTCGTCGCTAAACTTCGTATCGTTCGTCGCTCTTTCTTTGCGGTATTCACTCTTTCTTCATCCATAATTATCAACAATCCGGCTCCGCTCGGTGGACCATTTTATGTTGTGAAAACATTTAATCTATTGCTGGTTCTCCAGAATATTGAACAGAAAAATTACATCAATCTTCAACTTCTCATCATATTACTCATTCTTTTTTAAGTTCTACGTCTACACTCTACACTCTACACTCCCAATCTGTTTACTATAAAATAATTACTCTAAAGACACTCCCAATTACAAAACATAACAATAAAAGGTATTAATGAGCTAAATATCAGTAATATGTGATTTTCAAAATTGCTCTGCAGCCATTATATAAAATCTCAAGACAGAGTGACAAGCTTAACAGATTAGTCATTAGTGCTAAAAAACAACAACAAGAATATCACCTATTGTGATGCGTTCGTGGGATATGGTGCTGCGCAGCGCAAAGTTCCCCAACACATTTAGACGATGCGCAGAAAAATATTGATTTTTTTGGAAAAAAATTGGGAGGGGAGGATTCATGCGTTAGATAAAGAAAGAAAGTGACCTTTGGTTCACATCGTTGTTAATAACAAGAAGCTGCTGTATTGATTGCCAGGGTGCGTTCCATGTACTTAGGTCCGAAGATCTTTGGCGTACACTCAGGTTTTTTGGCGTTCCGAATGCAAACTAAGAGAAAACATTTTTGGCATACGTAAAATCTTCGTTAGTTGGTGTGCTAAATATGAAGCCACGTACATAGTTAACACGAAAACATATGACACAAATGTTGATGGGGCCATGGCAACGCAACGTGCTTCGATTGTAGAATCACACGTTTTATTAGATTGTTCACAGCAAGTTACAGCGAAGTGTTCTACCCGTGTGTAATAGTGCTAGTTTGGATTTCGTTTGTTTTGCATCCTGTAACCTTAGTAGCACATTCGATTGTTTATAATTCCTTTTGTTATCTGATTGCACCTTTAGATTCATTAACTTTTTCTTTTGGGATTTTTAGTATCATTATTCAGTTTATGTAATCAATCTTGGGAGTAATATACTTTGTATTCACTATTATTATGTAAATTTACGTAGCTATTGTAGCATTACAATTAGTTAATATTAGTTCATGTGTTCTTTCGACATTAGCAGTCTTTTCACAAATGTCCCTTTGAGTGAGACCATCAAAATATGTGCCGACGCTTTGTACCGAAGCGAGCTTAATAGCCCACTGTAACGTTTTATGTTAGTCGGGTTCTTCTTAGGATGGTGAAGATACGATGGGGCTAGGCCAATGGGCCTAAGCTCCGAATAAGTAGAACACGAGAGAGACTCTATTCTGATGTTGTCTTTATTCGTTCAACAGCAAGACTAACTCTAAAGTGAGCAACGCACACACATAACATGAACGGAAGGTAATTAAGAGAACAATACGAACGTCACAATACATGTTGACAGACAAACACATTGCCATTAGAAAGACGTTAACTGACACAACAGGACTCAACAGCACATGTGACTATAACATGCAACTGAGATATTACGAAACATATCACACACTAAAGCCAACCGTTACATCATCCCCTCTCTACAAAAAGTAAATACGTTAAAATGAACATCCCTAGAAACAAACGACTAAAAATAAAAAGGTCCAAAGAGTCATTAAGGCCCGGAGGCATAAACCGGCAAGCAAAGGTAGTGCCTACAACATCGCTTGGTGTTCCCAGCTTCAAAACAGCATCTTTGAAAATAAATGTCAAATCGGGAGGATCCTCCGTCCTCCTGCTGCAACCCTTCATGGCCAGCACCCACTTCCTATTTTACAAAAATAATGGCGTCGTCTGATTTCTCTTGAATGTCATTGTTGCGTATTCTTTTCTTCGATAAGTGATGTTAGCAACAGTGGTCTTGAGCCCAACGGTAATAAGTAATTAGCCAAATTGAAAAAATCGTTAGTTTGAAGCAAAAGACAGACCTCTCTCTTCACCACCGCGAGTGAAACAACTTATTACTCTGCTTCCGACGTCCATCCCTCTCTTCACCACCATCCCTCTCTGTCACCAAATGTAACGTTTTATGTTAGTCGGGTTCTTCTTAGGATGGTGAAGATACGATGGGGCTAGGCCAATGGGCCTAAGCTCCGAATAAGTAGAACACGAGAGAGACTCTATTCTGATGTTGTCTTTATTCGTTCAACAGCAAGACTAACTCTAAAGTGAGCAACGCACACACATAACATGAACGGAAGGTAATTAAGAGAACAATACGAGCGTCACAATACATGTTGACAGACAAACACATTGCCATTAGAAAGACGTTAACTGACACAACAGGACTCAACAGCACATGTGACTATAACATGCAACTGAGATATTACGAAACATATCACACACTAAAGCCAACCGTTACACCACCATTCCCAGAGGAGGTATCCATTGAACTGTTGGAAACTGCAACACGTTCAGTTGAATTCAGTTTTAACAATGAAAGGTACCAACAAAAGGATGGTGTCGCTATGGGTAGTCCCCTGGGACCTGCCTTGGCCAATATCTTTGTCGGCTTTCATGAAGAGCGTTTGTTTGACTGCGACCAAAAGCCAGGTGTCTGTTTTCGGTATGTGGATGACCAGTGCTGAGGAGAGGGGTGGTCAGGGGGGTCACTGACCCGGGGCCCATGACTTTATGGGCCCAAAGATAATAACTTAGTCAAAAGTTGATAAGTAGCAATTCAGCTTCTCCATTTTCAAAACCTTTCAATAATAGAAACAATTATCGCAAAAGCCTTGGAAATAAAGTAAGGTAGAAGCAGCAATAGTATTAACCCCATTTATGTAACTCTAACAGAGCTAATAGCTTTCGGTTATTGTCTAGATATTAACAAAACAATTTTCAAGACTTTGTATCTGTAAAAAGGTTAATTATGGAGCTATAGTCAAGTTTTTCGGCATTTTCAGTTTCCATGGACATTGAAACCAGTGAGCTAAGCCAATGGTAAAGCGAAGATAATACTTTATGAATTTGAGCTTACTGGACGATATTTCGCCTGATTCAACACTAGAAGGCAAAGTCAGAAACAAACTTAATGCAATAAAAAGATTGGGAAATAAGTGTTGCAAATTCAAATGCTTAAGCTTGTTCACAGATAAAACTGAACTGATAGTCTGAAGTCCTTTGCGTGGAGGGTACAACCTGAAGGGGCCAGTTATAGACATGCCTGGGAGAGACAGTGTGCCTGAAGGATTTGACTCTACTAACCGCCAAGAGCTCTAATAACCAGTAAATTCCGTTGTTTAATCAATTCTTCATACTACAGTCATGCTGTTATTTCTAATCAGTTGCAGTCTTGGATGCATAAGATAGCAAGAAACAATGCTAAAATAAAGTTAATGCAAAGCTAAAACTAAGCAACATCCACGCATTCGATGTTCTCAAGAATAAATCGTTATAAATACTAGAGATTGACTACATGTTTCTAAAGAGTAGATATTTTAGGTGTCTTTTAAAGGGGTACTCATCGAGTGTGAAAAAACAGGAGCTTTAGTGGGCCAAATTCTCTTTACGGTTGCCTTCACGTGGCTTTTCATAATTTTTCCTTATAGTTTGATCTAATATAGTTACTTCGTCTTGCATCAAAAACATAATATCTATCAATTTTTAGCATTGTTTATTGGCGCCAATTTTGACATTATGAGAGATTGGTTACTTGCTTCTCTCAAGTATACACCAATTCGACTTTCGGCCTCATTTCTGCATTAAATCTACAATACAAGCACAAACAATATAAAAGTAATCTCCATTTTCAAAACCTTTCAATAATAGAAACAATTATCGCAAAAGCCTTGGAAAGGTAGAAGCAGCAATAGTATTAACCCCATTTATGTAACTCTAACAGAGCTAATAGCTTTCGGTTATTGTCTAGATATTAACAAAACAATTTTCAAGACTTTGTATCTGTAAAAAGGTTAATTATGGAGCTATAGTCAAGTTTTTCGGCATTTTCAGTTTCCATGGACATTGAAACCAGTGAGCAAAGCCAATAATTTATGAATTTGAGCTTACTGGACGATATTTTGCCTGATGCAACACTAGAAGGCAAGTCAGAAACAAACTTAATACAATGAAAAGGTTGGGAAATAAGTGTTGCAAATTCAAATGCTTAAGCTTGTTCACAGATAAAACTGAACTGATAGTCTGAAGTCCTTTGCGTTCACGCTAAAGACCTATAGTGCGAAGACATCTTGGACAGCCTATAATAGTGCGAAGATATTTTCCGACTTAGCAACAGTCAAATGCAGATGCAGAGAAATAATTGTCCGGTTCAGAGTGGGAGCAAGACTTTGCGATTTCGGAGAAAGAAGTGATTCACTCGTCAGATAGTGACTACTACCTGTTTCGAACTTTGGCTATTGCGGTGGGCACAAATTCAATTTAAATGAACTAAATACTAATATTTTAATTGAAAAACATATGGAAGAAAAGGTTTTGCTGATAGCCAGCGTCATATTAAAACAAAATTATGCTAACGTATCATTTTATGACAATAAAATATTTGATGACGTCATGCAAAATTTGTTATGACGTCATAATGAAAATACTTATGTCGGCAAATCTTGCTTAAATATATATCATTTGAAAGCTTGCAATGAGATGAGTCAAAATATGTAAGTTGCATTGAAAAATAACCCTTCAGTGAGGAGCTAACGATGATTTTGTCTGATTTTTTACCGTTAAATGACGTCATCAGTCACGTGACATCCAGGCATTTTCCAAAAAGTCATCTGGCAGATTATGAAAGCCTGAACTCCCTACTACCAGAATCCGTTGAGAAAGTAAACATTAGCTTGAATGTCAGATTGTCAGTCTATATGTCCTGTCTATTACGGTTGCCTTCACGTGGCTTTTCATAATTTTTCCTTATAGTTTGATCTAATATAGTTACTTCGTCTTGCATCAAAAAGATAATATCTAAAAATTTTTAGCATTGTTTATTGGCGCCAATTTTGACATTATGAGAGATTGGTTACTTGCTTCTCTCAAGTATACACCAATTTGACTTT